TGGACAGTCCTCCAGCCACCCTGCCACACACTTGCTCCCATCTCCTGCTCTGCAGGCCTGCAGCCCTAGCAAGGCCAGCTAGCCAGCTGGCCCCAGCCTCCTGAGAGGCTGAGGGGGCTAGAGCTGCCAGGCAGCGTGCCCAGGAATGTGTAGGGTCCCTAGGGCTCCTTCTCTGTCTGTGTCTCCAGCATGTCTCTACCCCATTGCCTCACACTTTGGGGCTGTCTGGATTGCCTGTGTTTGATTGGAGTTGTCCCTATATCTGTCTGTGTCTCTTGCCTTGTTGCTCTGGGTCTGTCTGGACCTGTCCGTCATCTGTCTGTCCAGCTGTCTTCTGAGATATGAATTGTAGTCCCAGCTTTGCTTCTGGCTCACAGCATGACCTGAGCAAGATTCTCCCTGGCAGTACATGTCCGTGCCTCCTCCATCTGTCCCGAGGTCGCTGCTTGACCCCACTAGGCCATCTTCAAATATGTGAGAACACCTCATACACACCCTCCTCATCTAGACCAGTCTTTCTGTTACTCTCATATACTCTTGGAACAGGATTGATCAATCCAAGCCCCAGAAAGTCTTTGGCCAGGTTTAACAGAAATTTAAAAACCTGTGCATGTTTCTGTAACAGCAAAAAGTAGACAATGGTGTCTGTAGGGTCCAGCTGGGTGATCTGAGGTTCTTCTATCTAAAGGAGCATGACCTTGGTGTGAGGAGCCAGCGCCACAGTGGATCCAGGTGGCTCCCTAATATTGTCCTTATAGCACAGGAGCAGACTGCCACATGAAGGAAAGGAAGGAGCAGAATGACTTAACAGCATCTTCTTTCTTTAAGAGGGGCCAAGTATTCTTGTGCATGTGCTTAAGACAAGACTGTAGAAGGAGAAATGCAGAGCTCAGACAGATTGTTACTTCCAATACACAGCATAGGAAAGATTGAAGGAAGGAAGGGAGGGAGGGAAGGAGAGAGAGAAGGAAGGTCTGTAGAACCAAGCACTTTGTATAATTGAAAAGAAAATTTTAATAATTTTTGTATTTAAAACAAATGAGGAAAAATGAACCTGGATGTGGAGTTGGTGGGGAGCCACTGTTAAGAATTGTTGTCGTGACTCTGAAAGCCCTTTCATTCAGCCCCATCCTCATGGGAGCAAGCACAGAGACAAACGAGGAGCTTCCAGAGGCTTCGGTGGAAATATCGACATTGTCATTTCAAAATTGCTACAAATACAAGGGGACAAGCAAGTAAATGCAGGGTATTAAAAGAAGTAAAAGATCAAATTGTAATGAATGAAAACCCAAACTGAAAAAAACAGAACTTGGTGGGTGGTGTCTGTCTGCAATCTCAGCACTTGTGAAGCAGAGGCAGGAGGACTGGAGGTTCAAGGCTAGCTTGGTCTACATGAGACTGTGCCTCCAAAAAAAAAAAAAAATAAAAAAAAAAATAAAAAATAAAAAAGGGTTGACTGAGGAGATGGTTCAGTGAGTAAGAGTTGTGCATGCATCCATGAGGATCTGAATTTGGAACCCTAACACCATGCAAAATGCTGGGGGCATAGCCCTGTTTATGTAGCCTTGGGGATAGGGGTTTGGAGACAGGAGGATCACTGTGTCCTGATCCCCAGCCTGTCCAATAATGAGCAACCCTGTCTCAAGGGAATAAAGCATGCACACAAATTAATGCATGAGTTAGTTCACTATAAAAGGTCGACATGCTCTGATTGCTGTGAAAATCGAGACTGTGAGTACCTCCTGTAAAACTCCACTAAAGGCTCACAAGGTCACCAGAATGGCACAGCATTAGCCATGGAAAGGCCTCTGAGCCTGCAGCCCACTGGACAGTGTGAACCTTGACTGCAGGATAATGACTGCCGTAAATGGAAACAAGTCAGTGAGCAGCTGCAGTGAGCCTCAGACACAGCCCCAAGCCTCCAGGAGGATAGGATCGCAGGAGGGGGGTCTCATCCAAGTTCTCAGGAAGGACATGGATGCCTTCCATCTTCAGGTGAGGCTTTGTGATCACCAGCTCAGCCAGCTCTTTGTAACTTTATCTGAGTAAATAATGTGACAGAAGTGAAACTTCAGGAAAAAAACAAAACAAAAACAAAAACAACACTGTTTTGCCTTTGCTACAATGTTGCTAGAACAGTCTGGTGGCAGTCAGGAGGGAAATCACAGGATGAAAGAACTGGACTGAACCTCTGTCAAGGCAACATCACAAGGAGGGTTACCTACTGCAGGCCTTGAAGGTGATTGTCAGGTGGCTAGCTTAGAGTAGCCGAGTAGTTGAAGGGCCTGTTAACTGCCACATGAGGAAACACGCCTATTCTGATACATAGAAAATTCTGTGAGATGAATGACTCTATGTCTTTTCTAGCCACCTGGCAGGGAGGCAAAATAAAGACATGAGAGTGGAGGCATTCTAGAATGCAAAATCTAACCCCAGTGTGCAGACCCACTGTAAGGATGACATCTCAGAAGTGTTTATGTGTAGATTGACACATGCTAGCTTTCCTTTAAAATATTCCAGTTACTCCCCTCATGCCCCACAAAACCAGAAAATCTTAGGAATGGAGGAAGGCGTGGGCTTGCCCAGGTCCTGGGGCTGGTTAGGGAAGAGCCCTGGAAGACAGGTCATGGGAGAGCTGTTAATCTTCCTTCAATGGACACTGGCCATTGAAATGGTTACCCTGCAAAAGACAAGGGAAGGCTGAGAGGGAGGCTGTGTTTGGGGTCAGGGTTACTGTCAGCACAGGCTCCACTGGGCCGAGTCCTGCTAGCAGCACACTGAGAGCAGGCTGCAGGCTCCTCATCATGAAGAGCTCATGCCATCAGGGCCATGGAAATCTGCCTGCTAAGAATTTATTCTGAAAAAGTCACTGAGGCTGGTTCTGCCACAAGAAGGGTTCGCTATCGCTTCCCTATAATGTCACTGGGAATATATTTTTCTAAATATAAATTTCCTAAATAAAAAGAAATTGTTTTCAGTCTCATGAGATGAAAAAGTTCTAGAAAGAAAATCTTAGTTGGTATTGAACTGGACACTTAACAGTAGTGAAGACAGCTGGAGAAGTGGCTCAGTCAGTCAGTGAGGTATTTGCTGCTCAAACACAAGAACCTCAGTTTTGTCCCCTGTACCCTGTACTTTAAAAAGCCAGATGGGGTATGCACATTTGTAATCCCAGCACTGGGGAGGTGGAGAGAAGTGTCTCCTGGGCCATGCTGGCCAGCCACTTCAATCACTTGGCAAATACCAGCCAATGACAGAACCTGTCAAAACAAAATCAAATCAAACCACTCTCTGCACCCCTCACCCCAGCCCCACATAAGCCAGAGACTGTCTGGGAGAGTTAGTGGACGGAGGTACTTGTGACCAAGCCTGACAAACCAAGTTCCATCTCTGGAATACACATGGAAGGAGAGAGCTGACTCCCGCAGGTTTTTCTCTGATCTCCACATGATACACCCACACAAATAAATAGATGTTATAAAAAATTTTAAGTAAAAAAACTAAAACCAAAACCAAGGCGGACAGCTCTTAAGAAAAGCTGTTAGAGGTGGAACTCTGACCTCTACACACATGGCCCATACATGCCCTCAAACCAGTACAGAGCTATGCACAGCTACACAGAAACAGGAAAGATGGTAAATTTATGTGCTGTGTGTCTTACCACCCCTAAATAAGTAAAAGGGGTTGATTGTGTTAAGTAGTGCAATATATCAGAAATTACACTACAGAAGAAAGTGTGTGAATGTGGGAAAATAGGCAAAGCACCAGATAGGCAAGTTCTAAAGCCAGCATTTGCCAGAGCTGAGTTTGGCACTTTTTATTTATTCATTTATTTGTGTGTTTGTTTTTGAGATATGGTCTCAGGTATTCCAGGCTGATCTCATACTTGCTATGGTGCTGGAGATTATTCTCTTGCCTCCATCTCCCTGCTGTGGTCACAGTATGTGCCACTGTGCCCTGCTTTGGTACAGCTAGGCTGGAAGGGAGAGTATCATTCCTAATGCTAAAAGACATGCTCAAGAAAGCTTTACTTTTGGATTAGGGAGATGGTTTAGTCGGCAAAGTGCTGGTCTTGAAAGCTTGAGGACCTGAGTTTCACTCTCTAGCACTCATGGGAAAGCTAGGTGTGGTGGTACTCATCAGTAACCCCAGCACTGGGAAATCAGAGACAAGAGCTCATTGGCCAGCCAGCCTGGCAAGTCTGTGAGCTTCAGACTCAGTGAGGGATCTATCTCTGAAAGTAAGGTAGAAATAGATGGAAGAAGACATCACCTGGTATTGATGTTGCCCAGATACACACACACACACACATAGAGAGAGACAGAGACAGAGAGAGAACTACAGAATTTCAGGTCAGGGGCTGGACAGATAGTCTGTGGTTAAGAGCACCAGCAGTTAGAGCAGGTAGTGGCGGTGCACACCTTTAATCCCAGCTACTCTGGAGGTAGAGACATGTGGATCTCTGTGATATCTAGGTCAGCCTGGTCTACAGAGTGAGTTCCAGGACAGCCATGGCTAAGCAGAGAAACCCTGCCTTGGAAAACAAACAAACAAACAAACAAAATATCCCAAAACAAACAACAACAACAACAACAAAAAAGAACACCACCAGCTCTTCCAAAGGACCCCAGTTCAATTCCCAGCACCCCATGGCAGCTCACAGCTGTCTGTTAACTCAAGTCCCAGAGGATCTAAAGCCTTCATGGGGCAACCATGAGCAAGTAAGTATACACGATGTACAGACATACATGCTGGCAAAACCCTATACACATATAAATTAAAATAAACTTCAATGCCAGGCTATTAGCATTCACCTTTTGCAAATGGGGAAACTGAGGGAAAGAGATGGAGCAGGGCTTGGGGGCTTGGATCTCTCATCTGGTCTGTGGTGTCCACATTCTGGGGTGTTTCCTCTTTCCTTCCAGCTGGTCTTGTGGAGTAGAATAGTGGCTGATGGGTAGAGGCACTCACAATGCTGTGGCATGTGGTATCTTTTGCAGGCTGTTGATGGAGAAGTGGGCGGATGACAGCCGGGACTGTGGTCATCACTGGGGGCATCTTGGCAACTGTGATTCTTCTCTGTATCATCGCAGTTCTGTGCTACTGTCGGCTTCAGGTACCCCAAAAGGATGGGGTGTAATCTGGTTGGGGTGGAGCCTGAAGGCTGGCTCTGCAGGGGAACCCCCAAGAAGACAGAGAGGGCCAGAGTCCAGGATAGAGTGGAGGAGAGCACAGTCAGATTTCAGGGCAGATGCCCAGAAATGGGGCTGGGGTTTCTCTGTGCAGTTCAGTGGCCAGCTGTCCAACTTACCCAAGGCTTTTGCTGAAGCTTAGAAAGTCAAGGATTCAGGCAGTGGCACACAGCTACCCTCCAGGAGAGCAGATATGAAGAGTATGCTGCCTTGTGTACCCTCCCCTGCCTGAGCTTTAGAGGCTTCTCGGGCTCCACATCTTCCTGAGAGGAGGGAGCATCTATGTGTAGGCACACCCAGGGCCTATGACTCAACTCTAGGATCTGAAATGGCTTACCCATCTCTGCCACTTCCAGGTTTCTTATCCAACTGTGCTTCAGTTTACCTGCCTGCAAATTGGAAATTAGACTTTTATCCAGCTGTGTGGATGAGGTAGATAGATAGATAGATAGATGGATGGATGGATGGATGGATGGATGGATGGATGGATGACACATTGCAGGGACCTCAGCTCGGAGTGGGCTGGGGTAGACGCTGGGTGGTAGTGGAACAGGTAGCCGAGATTGAGTAGAGTCAGCCCATAATCTTGAGGGCTACACTGGTCAACACGGGAAGTGCACCGTGGTCACCTGGCCTTCTCTCCACAGTATTACTGCTGCAAGAAGGACGAATCCGAGGAGGACGAAGAGGAACCCGACTTCGCTGTGCACTCACACCTGCCGCCCCTGCATTCCAACCGCAACCTTGTGCTGACCAACGGGCCTGCTCTCTACCCGGCTGCCACCACCTCTTTCAGCCAGAAGTCCCCACAGGCCCGGGCCCTCTGCCGCAGCTGTTCCCACTACGAACCACCCACCTTCTTCCTGCAGGAGCCAGAGGACGACGACTTTGAGGGTGTTCGCAACGGCGGGGGCCGAGTGGCCTACAAAAGCATCAGCCAGGAGGACGTGGAGCTGCCCCCAGCGACCTTCGGGGGCCTACAGGCGCTCAACCCCAACCGCCTCTCTGCCATGCGTGAGGCCTTTTCCCGAAGCCGCAGCGTTAGCACTGACGTGTGACAGACCTCCATATTGCCTAGGCATCCAGCCCTGGAAGGTCTTGAGATCATGGCCGGATCCCCGTGGCACACCCTAGTCCCATGCCCAGACCTCTGCTCAGCCACATCTTTCTTGTATCCCTGTCCCAGGGGCTCTAGGCATGGGGAACCCCTGGGCCCTCTCCAAGGATAAGCCCAATGAAGCAGGTGTGGCAGCTGTGGGTAGAGACAGCTTGTACAAGAATAGAAGCAGGGGTCAGGAGGGTAGGGTAAGGCTATGTTGGGACATGGGGGCCAGGTCCTGTTTCCAGGAAGTAAGAAGATGGCTAATGTAAACTCCAGCAACTTGTCTGTCTCTGGCTTCATGGCCTTAGCCTGTCACTCCCCCACCAGGCCTTGGGCTGCCTACCTGCTCAAGGAACAGTGGTGCCACTGGCTGCCAGTGGCCCTACAAGCATGAATCTTCCTTAGAGACTGTGGACCAAATAAATATCTTCACCCTCTCTCCCCTTTCCCATCCTTCCCCTCACCTGCTCTCCATCCCTTCTCCCAGGCTCTCCATCTCATAATCCTGAACCTAGGTGACAAGCATCCTCCCCAAGCTTGAAATACCCATTGCTCTGGCCTCCCTGAAGATGAACAAGTCTCCCTGTAGAAGGGAGAGTTTAGGAAACAGCAGTGTCCTGGGATGCTTGCTCTACGCCATCTACTTTTCAATACTGCTCTGGGAGCGTTGACACTAAAATTACACGCTCAGTACTCATCCCTAAACCCAGTCAACTGATAGGCACTGGTTACTGATACACTGGAGGTGACCCAGTATGCACTAGGGATCTCAGGTGTGACTCTTGGGCAGGCATCCCATCCATGGCTTGCATGCCCATACGTAGTGTGCATGTAGGGGCTGGGGGGTTGCAGAAAGCCCTTTGAACTCTGGTCCTCAGTGGGAACTGAGGTTCCTGGGGGAAGCTGAGCTATAGATCATCCACTTCCTGTTTTCTGCTTGAAATGAGGCCCCAAGCCCAGCTAGCCAGAGCTGGCTGCCCCTGTGTGGAAGGCTCACCTCTACCCATGCTGCTCCAAGCCCTCCACTGGTTGAGGAACTGGTGTCAGGTGACCTCCCCTTGAGGGTGCCCCAAGCCCAGGACCCCAGCCATCAGGAGTGCAGTTCTCTGCTCTGAAAGAAGCACCATTTTTGGCAGCAAAGCCCCTTCCCCTTGGGGCCCTATTTCATCCCCAAGTCCGGCAGCAGAGCCCAAGGGGAGAAAGTGCCCCCCCGAAGGTGCCTTCCTATAGGACAGTGGCCACTCCTGAGCCCACAGCAGGGCCCACCACACTTACTACAGGCAGCTGAACCATGCTAGTGAGGACCTGCTGTCACTGGCGTTCTGGATTTTTGTCTCCTTTTCTTTTTCCTGCCTCAGTCTGGTCTTGCTAACAGAATTCACCCTTAGAATCACAGAAATTCCCAAGCTACCCCTTTTCCCTCTACTTCCTCTGTCCCATTCTACTCCATGGCAACTGTTCCTTGCATTACTTGGGGTGTGGGTGAGGTAGGGAGGGGTGGTCTGGGTTGTTCCGTCCTATCCTATCCCTTCCCCCTTTAAGCCTCTGTCTCTGTATAGATCCATAAACATCTTCGAAGTGATTAAGCATCCATCCCTACCAGCTCACTCAGCACCACCATGGGACCTGCCAGGGACCTACCCAGCACCTTGAAAAAAGCAAACGCCAATAAATTTGTTTCCCACACTATGGCATTAGGCTGCTTATCTGTCCCTCCACTGGGCACCTTTTCTGGAATTCGATGAAGTCCACCTTCCCAGCCCATCTGGTGGGCTCCAGTTCTACACAGAGGGGCTGGGACCAGCTTTCAGGCAAAGGGGGCATTATTACAAGCCACCCTTGTTTTCCAGTGCCCTCAGTGGCTTTCAAGGTCATTGTTAACAAATCTGAAAAGCAGATTGAATATGATGGGCTATGTTTCTTGAAGACAAATGGCTGACTGTCCCTGAGCTGGCATCAGCATAGTGGGGCATTCATGCTAGCCATCTCAAAACAAGATGAAACTAGCCAGTGCTGGTGGCATACCTGATACAGCCTGGCATAGTCAGGTACACAATAAAGGCCAACAGAAAGGAGTGTGGGAATAAGGTAGAGAGGGAGGGAATGAGCGTGGGGAGGGGGAGCCCAGCAAAGAGGTGATGATGGGACTCAAATGTGGCAGAGGTCCCAGTCCCCAAGACACAAGGAAACTGCTCTGTCTGAGCCCAGCTGGTAACCTGAAGAACCATCTCCCAAACTGCTAACTTCTGGATTTGGGGGACAAAAATAAAATCTGTAGGAACATCTATCTTGATTCAGTCCCTGTGACTGAATCGCACTTCCCAAACCCTAAGCCCTTCAGGAACAGAGCTATATGGCAGACCTGTCTGGGGCAGGCTGACCCCAAAGCACAGGAGACAGCCACCAGCCTCTTTACTTCCTAGGTCCTACAAGCGTGAATCTTCCTTAGGGACCATGGACCAAATACATATTCTGCCCCTTCACCCTGTCTCCCTTTTCCCATCTTTCCCCTCGCACTCTCTAACCATGGCCATCTCAGATTTAGCTCCGTCCTCTCTGCCTCACTGGGGGCTCTGTGTGTGTGTGTGTGTGTGTGTGCGCGCGCGTGCGCGCGCACACGCATACGTGTACTATCTTTTCTTCCACTCTCTTCCACTCAAGAAAGCCAGACTGAAGCCGCAAGCCCCAATAGCCAGCCCCCTTGTGTCTCTGCACCCACAAGGAGCCACCCTGATGTGAGAAGCTGTGCATATGGCACTGGGGATGGTCCTTGGAGAGTTGGAGATGGCCTTACATGAAACCTGAGCCCACGACTGCAGGTGTTCTTTGCCATGTCTTTGCCATGGCTAAAGATTCATGTTAGACTCTGCCTCAACACTGTCCCGCTGCTCGCAGGACCTGCCCTTGCACACTCCTTGCTCTTCTGGTTGGTTGCCTTTGTCTATTTTCTGTTCCCACCCATCTCTGCACCCACTGTCCAGCAAAGGACCCTGTACAGTCTCACTAAAGCTCCTGAGGCTACCCACCACTTCTGCCCCAAGTGAGTGAGACCCCAGCACACTGCCATAAATACAGCCACTTTATTAACATGCACCAGTGAGTAGTGAGGGGAGTGGCAGGGACACCACAAGAACAAGGCTGTCCCTTCCATCCAGCACAGGAAGTCCAGGAGGGGAGGCACAGTGCACTAATGCCTTAGGGTGGGGTAACTTCAATATTTCCAGAGACAGGGCAGCCTGGGCTCCTCAGCTGACCCAAGCAAGACCCCGCCTCACCCAAGGCAGCCAAAGAAGGAAGATTCTTTCCTTCCTGGGTCATCCGCAAGTCACCTTGAGAGGGCTTTTCAACCTCAGAGAAGGGTCTGGAAAATGGGCAGGTACTGCCTACTCTGGGTTCCGGACTCTGGGCCCTCTAGTGCGGACACAGACACAGGATCCTGGGAGTTCACAGACATCTTCCGGTAGCAGGGTGGCTCCATCTGAGAAGGGGCCTGTGGGCACTGGAGGCTCTTCCCCAAGGCAGAGACAGGCCACGGTGTCAAAAGTCCCTTCTTGTCAGCTGTGCTCTGTGTCACATCTTCCCAGCCCAGGACCTCCTGCAGAGTGGGTGTCCAGTGAGAGCCCCAGGATAGTGTGCTCAGGACTCAGGGGCTACAGCACCAGCTAGGAGTGGGGAGGCCTGCAGGAGCGACAGCAGGCTTTGCTGTAGTACCAGTGGCTGCAGAGGTTCACTTTGATGGCCAGTGCACAGTTGGTGCCCGGCTGGTCCTGGCAGCTATCATCTGGGGATGGGACACAATACAAGGGGGACAGATGAAATGCCAGGAGGCCCAAGGGAAACAGCTCCCGGGGTCCCCAGCTCTTGCTATAGTATCTTCACAAAGGCAGAGGCTCACTGAGAACATCCCAGAGTCACACTATGAATAGGTCAACACGTGAGCCTCCCAGCCTAGGTTCAGAGCACCCCAGCTACTACAGATTTTCAGGTTTCAGCTATCCCTTTATTGATCCAAGTTCCTTTCCAGGAAAATATAGACCCCACTAGGTGGTTTTGATCTGACCACTTGCAGGGTAAAACCTTGGGATTTGGGAGAGTCCCTGGCCCTTTCTGAAAAATCAAAAACTTTCCAGGGCCTGTGGGTTCCTCTCTCCTTGCCTCAGTATTCCCAAAATAGAATCCACCTGCCCCCACATTTGGCATCTACTTTGGAGACTGGACCTTGTCTATCTTTCCAAGCCCAAGCAAGAAACCACATAGCTCCTGCCTCCTGAGAGTCAGTACCTGCTGCTCAGGCTAGGGCATCTTTGTCGCTGGTCCCACAGCTTACCCCAACCACATTTTAGATCAGTGTTTTTTTCAAGACATGGGTCTCTGCATGGGTTCCCTGACCTCCAGTTAGGCCTCCCCCCTTAAAGAAGACCTTTTTGAAGACACACCTGTGTGTTTCTCTGGCTGCTTCCCTTGACTAATGTCCGTTGGTCCTCCAGACCCTGGCTCTGCCCACAACTCCCCACTCTGTGCCCAGCCTCTTTCTTCTCACCTGGGGGCTCTGTGGGACATGGCTGCAGATCACAGGCCTGTCTGCCAACAGGCTTCACCAGCGGGTCACATCCACGGACAATGTCGGTTCCCTGATAACACTTCACATCTCTCATCCTCACACCTACCCCGCAGGTCTTGGTGCACTGGTGTGGGACAGACAGGCAGACAGACAGACAGACAGACAGGCACATAACAAGGCTTGGCATAGTAATAGAGACAGAGTCTCATCACTCAGAACTCTCCCTTCTGCACCCTAGCTGTCCATAGGTTGGCCCAGGACACACCCACTCCTTGGAATCTAGAGCCTGAGCTGGGGCCGAGCAGAGGTAACAGGAGGAAAGGCATTGTCTGGCTTCTCTGCCTCAGTTTTCCCAGCTCCATAATGAGAAGGTGCCAACTATGACCTGCTGGGTGCTCAGGTTCCATCTGTCCCAGATTAGTGACACAGAGAGTTTGCCATGGACCAATCAATGCAACTTCCAGGGCCATCACACTGAGTCCAGATGTTCCCCTCAGAAAGCCTGCTGAGCTACCCAGAATACCAGGGACATCTGCTGACCCCAAATACCCTGCTATTTCCTTGCCAAGATCCTACAGGCAGTGGTTCCCTGATGTGGTGACCCCACATCACCCAGGCATGCCTTGGACCTGAGGTATGGGGAGGCCCCCACCCCAGGCTCACCCTAGTCTGGTTACCAGACACAGAGCTGATGAAGGTTGGCACGATGCCACCCGCCTGCTCACCAGCCCTGAGGAGAGGAGAGACTGGCTTGGTACAGGCAATCAGAGGACACTCTGCCTTTGCAGATGCCCCTGAAGACAAGTGGGCTCCAGCAGGTCCTGGCACCTGCTCCTCTGTCCCTGGATATGGACGGGACAGAACAATTGGATGAACACTGAGCTGATGCATCTTGATGGGGCAGCCACAGGGAAGGGCATTGTTCCAGCCAGGAGCAGAAAGGACAGATTTCCATATGCCCATCACTCAAGTGTTCCATCTTCTACTATGTCATCAGGACAATATGGGAAGCACCCCTTGCTCATGGCTACTTTGGGGCTTCTCCCTTCACTCTGTCCAACATGGTCCTTGATTTACTAAGCTCTGGCCACACAGCTACCCTAAGACCAATGTTATTCTTAAAGAACGTGAATTAATTGTTGAGCTGCCCAGACCACAGCCAGACCTCCAGCTAGGCCTAGTCAGTTCAGAGGGAATCTTCACTTCAGAGATACCTGAAATCTCTCTACCTCCTTCCCCTAATGATACTTGCTGGTCCCCAAGCTCTGCCATGCACTCTCTAAGCAATTGCAGCCCTATCTCCCTTCCTTCTATTGGTGGGCACCACAGTGTGTGTATGTGTGTGTGTGTGTGAGTATGTATGTATGTATGTATGTATGTATGTATGTATGTATGTACCTACAGAAGAACTCTGGAGTTCCCAAGCCCATTCTTTAGAAGGGCAGCAGCTGGGGCCTCCCCTCACAGAGCCCTTGGACTTTCAAGTCTTGGATTTGTGACCCACCTGTCCCAGAAGCTGAGCCCATATAGGACCTATGTGTTGGGGTATTGGACACTATAGAACACCACAATGGAGGCTCTGGGCTCCAGGCCCCATCGGTCACTCCACTACTATTCCTGTGCATTCAGAATTGACCTATGTGGGAACCAAAACCACAGACAGCTTGAAACCCTTGGATATCCAGTGTGACCACAGAAGTCCTGTACTCAGCCTGTCCCAGGGATGCTTAAAGATGGTTCTGGACTCCCCTTGCCCTTGCACAGGACGGATACTGTTGCTATGGGATGACATGGCAGATGCTGTTGCTATGGGACAGCATGGAGGAGGAAATAGCATGTACATGTTGATGTGAATTAATAAAAACTGACATTTGGGTGTGACTGCCTCTGTGGTGTTAGGAAGGCTCATGATGCTGACAAGCCTCAAGGAATGATATAACTTCTCAGGCAGCGTGAAGATCAGCTGGAGTGCAGTTACCTTGCTGTGACAATCAGAAATGAGACAGGGAGCTCATCCTTCCACTTACTGCTTCTCGGCCTGCCCATCGCTTGCCTGTGAGTTGAGGCTACTCACACCTTAGGCTCCTTGTCCTGGACTCCTGGGATGAACTAGTCTGTAACACACACACACACCCTTCCCTTTGGATAGTCCTCAGTCCCATGTCTAGCTCTCCTTAAACTCTGGCCCCAACTTCAGTTTCTTCCTCTTGGTAAGTGATAATTGGAAAAGAGATCTGGGCACAAGTGCTGGGCCACAGCTGCCCTCAGTGACCTCTGTGGCAACAGGGGATGGCTTCATTCTTGCTTCAGAGATGAGAGCTCAGCTCCATCCTGCCTAACATCCTGCCTAAGGAGCCTGTAGAACAGAGCAGGAGGTCAAGCTTGTGTTAGAACAGCTTGCTGCTCTGACCACTGACCTAAGACTCACCATTTGTATGCCCAAGTCTCATGCCTCTGCCTTAGCCATGCCTCAGCCAATCTTACTGTCTATGTCCACCAGGATTGGAACTACCCTTTGGAGAATATCAAGCATACTTGCTTCCAAACACATCACTTAAAAACCTCGTTTTTAAGCCAGAAGGACCAGACAGACCCACAAAAAGAGCTGCAGGAACACCAGGGTAATATCAACAAAGGCTTCTGGGCAGTGGTGGCTCCTCACCAGCTGATCTAGAAGCATCTGTGGACAAGCATCCTGGTTGACTGAGGCTTGGAGGAGGACTTGATAGACATGGGCCAAGATGGATGTTCTGTGGCAGGACCAGAGCCCAACCTGTTTTAAAGCAGCTGGGGTGGGAGCAGGGCTTCCTGGGTGCTCACCTCTGACCAGGGGCTGGTGTACCACTTGAAGCAAGGTCTCTCAAAGCATGTGCTCTCCTCAGGGGGCTTCCTGGACAGCCCACACTCAGGACCACTGCGCATCTGAGGCTTCCCATTGGCCAGCTCCATGCAGAGAACCAACCGCTTTTTCACACCACGCCCACAGGTAGTGTTGCACTGAGAGGAGCCAGACAGGATAGGTCAGTGGCTGGAAGCCCAGCAAACCAGAACCTGACCACAGCATCTCTGGTGGCCAAGGTTTGGTCAATATTTGGGTAAAAGGCAAGCACTTTCAACTGGGGGATTGGCTGACAACTCTTTGTTCGGTAACCATTTGGCCCCATCCAGATTTGATCAAAAGCAATCAGGCCCAAACCATCTGTTTTGAAACAAATTGGCTAATGTAATTTGGCCAAGGATGATCAGGCCAAAATCAATTTTGCAGAAAGCAATTTGGCCCAAGATTATTTAGTTAACAGTGGCCCACCTAAAACCATTGACTAGGAGCAATTGTCTGAAATGGCAAGTTGATGACAAGGATAGGTTGTGACAGAAGACAAATAGGTTGTGATAGCAAAAGGTCATCAAGACCCTGAGGGCTGAAAGTGTGTGCAGCCAATACACCCTGTCTCTGGCTTTGTGTCCACCAGGACAGGGCTCAGTGAGAAGATACTGGGGCCTGCAGACACACCCCTGGGGAAGGAGAAGGGAAGTGGTTTTACTATTCTTTTTTACTATTTTTCCAAGTTACTTGTTAGTCACTTGTTCTTCATCGCTTGTCATGGATTCCTCACTGTGACCATCTGTGGACACTCAAGCCAGTTCTCCCCATCCCCTCTGTGATCCAGAGAAAGGATCTATGCAGACTCCTGGGTGCTCACCCGCTCCCAGTCTTGAGCCAGCCAGTGGGCTGGGCAGTTCTTGTCCCCACAGGGATGGATGGCCAGAGGCTTTGTCTCCATCTGACACTGAGACTCTGGGACTACCCGTCCATCACTGGTCTTACAGTACACGTGCCTGATGGTACGGCCCTGCCCACAGCTTCCACTGCACTGTAAGAGAGAACAACAGGGGCCGGTAGAATAACAGGGGCCATTCCACAAGCCCCCGACCTGTATCATCTCCAAGTAAGAGGAATAGCTTCCAGGGCAGTGTAGGGGAAGCAGTTTCCATGGTAACCACTTTTTAAATAACATTTCTGTTCTAATTACAGAAATAACATGCTCAGTACAAAACACACACAGAGAAAAGCACAGCTCCAAAGGTCACCTGATCCCCCACCACCAGAGAGGACCCTACCTAGCAGACGAGCAGCTCCGTTCCAGATGAGAGAGACAGATGGAGACAGAGACAGCAAGGGAAAATAAGCAGAGAGACCGAGACAGGGAAAAGCATGCAGACAGAAAGATGGAGACAAGGAGAGACGTAGTCAGAATAGGTGGAAACAGAGACATCCTTAATGGGACATTATGTCCACTATTGTTTCTGGACAGGGGTTTGAGTCCCTAAAAGAGTGGGAGGTCACTGTACTTTTTTTCTTGTGTCTTCATTACAGATAGTTGAGAAAACTGAAACTCAGAAAAGCAGAGTCCTCAGGGTCAGGGTCCCGTTACTAGCCCCATGCTCCAAATATACCCTCACCGGTCCCCAATCTGAGACAGTCCACTGGCGGTCACAGGGAGGCCCTGTGCAATTCTTCTCTCCCACAGGCCTGGTGCTGGGATCACATAGCTTCTCGTCCTCAGAGCAGCGGATGTCTCTGGTCACAACACTGCGCTCTCCACACTTGGCTGTACACTGCAAGGAAGCCAGGGTGGGAAGCATCATGATAGTCTGTTCTCAGGCACAGGCCACCACCCCAGCATCCTCAGACTCTCACCTCCGACCACTCAGACATCTCCCACTGTGGCCCACAGGCCGGGTTGCGGCATATCTTGCGCTCCTCGGGCCGTACAGCCTCTGTGGCCTCACACAAGTCACTGTACACGGAGCTGTCAAAGCCAGGGGACAGCATCTTCCAGCAGCGCACGATGCGGAACTGATGGCCCTCACCACAGGTGCGTGAGCACTCGCTCCAGCTGCTGGTCTCCCACCTGCCCCAGGATCGAGGACAGCCCTCAGTGGCCCCAAATCACACAGGCCAAACCAGACTGGAAGGAGGTGAGACCAACCAGTGGAGACTGTGCCCATGATAACCCTGTGTTAGGTAGTCCTAAGCAGAACGTCAGGTGAGTATCCCTCAAGTGCCCATGGCCTTCAGGGACCTGGCCACCTTCACCAGCCCTCACCTCAAGCTCTTCTTCCTTTGTCCTTTCTGTCCCCTGCTCCCATTCCTTCTGCACTCGCCACCCTTCAGGTTCATACTCCAGTGTCCCAGAGCCCCAGGCCTCATTTGTCCTGCAGGGTCACACAGGTGACTGTGGCCCCTTCTGGACTCTGATTCTTCATGTCAATTGTGGAAGTGAACCAAAGGTGTGAGTCCAGCTCTGTACCCAGAGAAGCCATCTCCAGTCCGCAGGATGACCACCCATCTCCGCCCCTATGCTGCGTGGGGTAATAAAACACCGGGTTCCTCCATGCAGATCCTCTGAGAAGAATCTAAGTGCAGGCCAGCTCTGTGGTCTTTTGTTCAAGAAAGGAACAAATGCTCAGATGTAGCAGCCGGAAGAAAAGAAGGAATGTGACCATGTTGGGGAGTCAGAAATACATGGCTCCTTGGAAGCGACACCAAGGCTCCGCTTCTGCCTTGAAGACAAGATAAGAGACATGGGGGCTAGAAAGATGAGGCTCCACCCACATCCCAGGGATGTGAATCTTCCCTAGCTTATAGAGATCCTAGCCTTACAGGTCAGCCCAGGTACAAATATAGCCCTCTAGTATAGAGAGTAATGTGGAAAACATCCTGTGGTGAAAAATGTTTAGTGACCACACCACGTGCTCTGCTCTGCTCCCCACACAGTCCCATAGCTTAGCTCACAGCAGAGGCAAAGAAGAGCCCTAGTATGAGCATGGGTGCTTAAGTGCACGCGCGCACACACACACACACACACACACACACACACACACGTGTGCGCGTGCACACACTCATTCTGACACCCAGCTGGGTGATCAAGGACAGGTACCTGGGCTGGCACTCCCTCCCAGCGCAGAATTCGTGGACAGGCTCAGGACGAGTCAGGGCATCGCAGTAGCTGTCATCCACCTCAACACCATCATAGCGAACACACATGGCATATGTGGACATGACTCCTAGGTTTGGAGCAACGCAAAGGTTTATAAACAGCAAGGACCTTGGATACCAGCAGATGGGTGAGCCTTGTGGTCCTGGATAGTCACATGACCACTCAGAAATCTGCTTCTTGGGTTGGGGATAGTAAAAGCCTATCGCTGGAGGTAGAGAGGCTCTGTGGGCCAGAGTCTCAGGATCTGACCTCTGACGTCTTTCTTTGCCCAGCTAAGGCATCTAGCTCACCTGCCACAAACCTAGATGAGCCTTACAGAGACAGAGTAAGATGCATCCAGGTACCCTGATGTACATTTGTCTAATAAACCCCACTGCAGATGAGCAGGCAAGCAGGTAGAAAAAAAAAATGATAGAACTTGATAGCCCTGCCCCCAGATATCACTCTTACTGAAGATTCCCTAACCAGCACCTCCATGTCTTTCATTACCTGTGTGGCTTTTTCTGGGATTCCTGAATTCTAAAGTCGCTTGGGGACAGGGACGGTTACACACACACACACACACACACACACACACACACACACACACACACACACACACAGGAGTCTTCTCCCAACCATATGGATTGCCTAGCGACATCTCCTCTCTTTTTTTTTCCCTGGACCTACTTCCTACACCTAAGAGCAAGCCTGCATATGGGCTCTCTAAAGGGTGAGCATGCCCTGCCCCAGAGCAAGGTATACCAGGATTGTGCTTGGCTGGGGAAAGCCACTATGGAGCTTTATGTAGAAGAGCCTCCTGGGGTTTTCAGTATATCTTCCTTCCCAGAGGTATCTGAGACCTGGTGGCCTCTGTTGCTCCAAACCCCAGTCCTGGACAGAACCATGGAGTCTGTGGAGAAACCATACATGTCTGTGTGTGTGTGTGTGAGTGTGTGTGTGTGTGTGTGTGAGTGAGTGTGTGTGTGTGTGTGTGTGTGTGTGTGTGTGTGTGTGTGTGTTTCAAGAGAGCCAAGCCAGGCTGCAATTACTGGTTCCTCCCCAGCCAGCACCGGGCTGTGCAGCCTTCAGCCTGCTGGGGGAGGAGGCAGCTTTCTGGCCAGGTCTACTTGGAACATTTCAGGCCTCAGAGACACTAGCTCTGGAACCCAGGGACATACAGACAGGGCTGGAGACTTGTGCAGCTGTCCCAAGTACCTGGTTATGTATTGGCTTGTGGTCATGGAATGGAAACACACAGCAGGGCCAACCAGACTTGTCATTGCCCCAGATTGCTCATCTCCAGAATGGGAAATTTCCAGAAAGGATACAAGATCAAAATGTCACTTTTCTGGGCCCCTTTTGCTTATACCTGTCTTGAGCAGGGAGCTTCTCAAAACTTCTTAACCATAGAGCCTTTGCCTTGAGCTGAAGTGGGCTGTGCACCCTGATATATGAAACAGACAAGGCCAGATAGATGTCCATCCTCAGTAATGGTCCTACCAACTCTCTTGATCCTGGGAAGTTTTGCTGTGCTCTAGGAGACTGAGGGACTGTCTAGAAGCCATACTCTGAGTCCCAAGCACAGTCCAAGTCATTTAGGAAAAGCACTGCTATTCCAAAAGATCAAACCTATGTTCCTCACTATGGCTGGGGGTTCAGGGTGCAGAGAAGGCAGGCTCCACGACCTGGCACAGCTTCAAGAACAGATTTCAGCATGAGGGAAGGGGGAGAGAAGTAGCTGCACCCACGACTCTCTACAGATCATCTGCAGACATTGTGTGCATCCACAGCTGGCGAAACCCACATCCCGTGGCCTGGTTTCTTCAATATGGTTGCAGTTGTACATATTAAATTTAAACCCTGGCAACACAGGGCTTTCCAAACAACTGATGTGGTTAGGCAAGAAGGGGTGAGACAGTGAATTGTCCACAGTGAGGACCCTTCCCTGTTCTTTCCGTTAGTCACTCAATTGGGTCAGGGTCTCATGAGGTGACAAGAGTCTCTCTGCCTCATACATCTTTGTCTAAGACAGAGCTCATCCCTTTCCCAGCATCAGATATGTCCTATTTCCTTTCTTCCTGTGTCCTGCTCTGCACTGTGGGCAATACAGAACAGCCCTGCTTCCTGTCCTGGCCACTGTGTAAGTGTTGAAAGACAATAGTGTCATGCTCTCCCTGGAGACATCATCTAGCAGGGCTCACTCATCAGGCCCCTTGCCACCAAGACTGCCTCAACCTGGAGACATGTCAAGTGATGTCACCTCCCCAGCTTCCAGAAAGTTTCCACTGTCACAACACATGCGAAGTTCCACAGCCAGGATGGCTAGAAGGATCCATAGTGTGCCCACACCCATCATCAACAGGCTCTGGGAAGCTGAGGCCACAGCACCTATCATGAAGTTTGGTCCTGGCAATCCATCCCTGTGAGAGGCAGCCCATAGTGCTCAACTGGGCTGCTTCTGGGCTAGGGTCAGCTTCAGCTTGCCTTGGAACCCCACAATGGGACTGTAGCAATGGTGTGCAATGGCTGAGTTTATCCCACAAGCCCCTTTGCAACAGTAGGTTCCATTTTACAGGTTGAAATCAGTAATGATTTGCTGAGAGCCCAGGGTATAACACAGTCATCAGTGTGGTTCAAATGGTCCCCTACCCCAAGTTGTTTGTTTGCTTCCATACTGTTGAGTACAGGGCATCATTGTGTTTGTGGACAGGGCCACCAGGAGCAGAACCTCAAAGCTGAAGGTCCCCATCTTCACTCTGAAGAGTCCCTCTCCTGAGATGTTAGAGAATAATTAGGGCTGACAGGGGGGGCCTGGACCTGATTGTCGTTTTACATGCCGTGGGAACAAGTGTGTTTTGTGACCCTCCAACTCCTGCCATTCCACTCCACCTCCCAGATCAAGAAGCCAGGTGATCTCCCGCGAAGTGGTTTGGGACTGAGTATATGGGTGAGTCTGTAAAAGTAGACGCAGAGAATGTGGCCCAGTAGTTCTGGGCTCAGTACCTGTGGTGCATGTGGCACTGCAGGGCTCATGGGATGATAGCTTCCACCTGTACATGTCAGCTGGGCTCACACCTTGTTTGCGCGCCTTGGGTCTTGTCCTGAAACAAGGTCAGAGTGTGGTGAGAGAGCTAGATGCTCACAGACTTCATTCTCAAGTGGGTGAATCCCCCCCTGAGGCTACACTCCCTTAAAGACAGTGTCCTCCATGAAGATCAGGGCTCCCACCCTCTAGAACAAGAAAAGACACACATGTTGGCCCTGAGCAGACAAGGGCATTTCCCGCCTTGGGACTGAACAAACCGCATGGAGGCGCTCTGTTCTTTCAGAGGTACCCTGAACAATGAGGGACTCGCCAACATTGCAACTGCTTCTTCAGTGCTCACAGGCTTCTCACTACATCCTACATTGGCCAGCAGATTCCTTCTTCCCACCCCAGAAGGAATCTCAGAAGGCCCTTAGGGGCTGAGATGTTCCAGAATTTCCCCTAGCTGCCTGCCCTCAGCTGGGGCTCTGATGAATGGGGACACCAGCCATTCAGCTTCCAAGTTTCAAACTCACGAAGCCTAGCTGCAGGAGGCAGATGGCCTCATCCCACACTGCAGCCCAGGTCAGTGATGGCTGCACAGGCCAGCTGACGGGAAGAGGCACACTGGGGGCCGGCCAGCCAACAGCTATGATTCTTGGCCAGAACTATGATGTCCATAGCCAAGCATTGTTAGGACTGTTAGCTTCTTTGAACCAGCCTCAACACCCTCTGTGCAGGCTATTTGGGACTCTGCAGGGGGAGGAAGTAGCTGTGTAGCATTACCTCCACCCAGAGTGTCTGCTCAACACAGCCCCTAAGTCTCATACCCCCATAGCCAAGAAGAACAGTTGGGGGACTTCCTCCATGGATAGCAGCTTCCTCAGGCAGTATAGGCCAACTCCACTTTCCTTGGAACTAAGAGGGGCTAGCTAAGGGCTGTGCACTGACACCTTTCAGGGGACTTAAATGGACAAGTCTCTTTCCTGGGGACTACAGTCACTGGAGAATTGTGGGTGTTATAGGCCATTACATTCTAAAAGCCATTCTGGTAGAGACATCTGCCAGGACTGTTAGTCAAGTGGGTGAGAATTGCGCCTGTGATTTGCTCTGATTGGCTCATGTTTCCCAAGAGAGTGCTTTGAGGATGAACGCTGCCCTGATAGCACGTCATGCTCTGAGAACCCAGGAAATGATCTACCAACAGGCACCTCGGTCGTGAGTTTACTGTTTTGATGCTGTGAATTCTCAGTAGGGGAGGTGCCCGCAGAAGGAGAGAGGCAGGGGTCTGGGCCACCTCTCTTGGGGCTCAGATGACCCTTGAGCCAGGTCCTATGCAGGGGAAGCTCCACCCTCCTCCCTGATTATGAACAACACTTCAGCATGGAGGCAGGGCATCCAAGATCCTTCATCTCAAAGTAAAGGATCCCAGACCTGAGTTCCCACTGAGCACCAACTGAGGGTGGGCCAAACCTCTCTGTGGAAGAACTGGGGAGAAGAATTAGTCCCTAAGGCTTGACCCAGACAACACTGGAGCTGTCTGGGCCCCCCACACTGATTTCAGCAGCCTAAAATTCCTTCCAAGAACAAAAAGAGAGGAGAAGATGCACTTGGTGTAGAAGCTCCTCCATCTTTATATAATTACACACTTCCCAGCCACAGCCTGCATGACTCATCCCTGACTCAAGAGCTAGCCGCCAGGTTCAAAATAACCCTTTGGATTTTAAGCCCTAAAGGTATTTCTGGAGGGGCTGTCTACACCCACTCTCCGGCACGTGTGGGGTGCTGGGTGCTGCTTGAATCTCAGTGCAGCACCTAACAGGTTTTTCTGCTGGTAGGTGCTTCAAGAATCACCACACCCTGGAAACCATCACCACTCCAATCTGGAAGGGTCCTGCTCTCAGCAGTGATGGTTTCCAAGATACCGGTGGCCACTGCTTTTGGGTTCTTGCCCAGTGCCTGGCGGGACACAGGCTCCTGAAAGCCCCAGAGAGCAGAAGCTCTGAAATGACTGTTTGTTTATAAGTGAACCAGAAACTCTCTTCCTACCCCGCTCCAGGCTTCGGAGAGGGATGTGTGCCTCTGCATCCCAGACGCCTGTTCCCAAAGAGTCTGGTGACAGCCCCTCCCGGGATTGTTTGAAGCCTTTCTAGAAGATGAAAATAGCCCTTCCTTTCTGGGCTGCCCCTTTGATTTTGCCCGCTCCCAGAGCAGACTCGACTTCCTGTGTTTGGACAACACGCCGAGAGACGTGGCTATTTCGGCTTGGTAGTTTCCCCCACGGCCTCCCTCAGTCCATTATCTCCCCAGACCATCTTTGGTCCCCAGCAGCAGCATCCTTTGATGGCAGCCGGTTGGGCATCTCACTGAGCTGCACTTTTCCGAGTGCTGACAATCTGTTTTAATGACTGGCTCTGGGAATCAGTATGTCCCATGGGGCTAAGGGGACAAAATAAAAAGAGACAGACACTTTGAAATGTGGCTTAGAGATTCTGGACCATGGGCGCTTTGTTGGGACTTAGAGCACCCACTCAGGGTATTCCAAACCTCTCAGGGGGAAAGAAACAGCCCCTAAGGTTTGATTCAACCAACATGGAGACACCCTGCTCTCAACAGCTTGTATTTGACTTGTGACTTGGCCTGTGAGGTGTTGCATTGCTGAGCCATCAGACCTCTCACCGACAGAGAAGCTGAAGCCTAGAAGAGAACAGAGATGTATCCAACTCCCATGATGTCACCTGCCCTTTCACTATACCACACAACCACCCACATAGCCCATTTCACAGATTAATAAAGGAGAGGGCCTTTGTGCCACCTGATAAACCTACATAGAGTACTGGATTGTTGTCACCACTTGGGCTGTGGGTGTCCTGGGAGGCCCCTCTCCCAAACCTTGGAGGCTCAGTGACTAAGTATGAGCATCTGTACCTAGGGCCTTTGTTAAAAGCATAATATATGATATATTCATATATGATTATATCATACACACACATATATACTGAATATGTATATGTATATATCATCCCTGTTGTCCCCAAGAAGATAGAGAGAGAGCCAGCAGCCCAGAAAGACTGGCTGGGTCACAAGGCAGGTGCTTTCTGATTCAAGACCACCCTGCCCATCACCACTGCCTGTAACTTCTCAGTCTCTGGTCCTGTGTCCCCAGGGCAAAGCCTGTCTTTCATCACCAACCACTGGGTCCCCAGAACAAGGCAGAGGCCCCTAGAAGCTTTGATGATATTAAGATCAGGTTAAGTGGCCAGCTCAGAAGCCCATCTAGCCAGAGCTCATCAGACAGGGTCCCTGGTATGCACCAGCCCTTGGCAATAAGGCTTCAGAAGGCAGAGTGAGAGAAGGGGCAGCAACATATCCTCCAGCTTTACTACTCTCAAACCCTAGAAAAATGGAAGAGGTGACCTAACCCCTGTCATCTTAAGAGTGACTGTCAAATCTTCCGTCAAACCCTAACTTCAGCCTCCCTTGATCTGGATAGAGTGCATCTCAAGATTTTGAGTGAATCCCCAGAAAACGAAACAAAAGCCAATGGACTGGTTCCCATCTTCAGTGCTCATCCTCCACCAGAGGCTAAAAATTCTATTCCTAGCTGTTTACACGAGCCTTGCTGTACACCCAGACACCTGAGAAATGACTTTAGTAACTGGAGAAGTTCTCTGTTACTGGCATGGAAGGGCCAGGGTCACCTGCTCCCAAACAATACTAGCCCAGGAAGCTGAGACCTGAGGCCAGTCTAGCCTACTCCTGGCTGTCCAGGCATCCCCAGACCCTCCTCTTTGTGGATTCCCAACCTCACTCTCCATGTCCCTGACCTTGATTCTATGGGCATTCCAAGCCATAGCTGCTGTCTGACTGTGATGCTAGCTTACTGCATAGACCCATAATGCTAGTAGCTCCAGCCTGTTCCTAACTTTGATTCAGGGTCTCCCTGTCATGGGAAGAACCACAGGTTCTGCTATCATTTTCTCTTTGGTGGGGTGAAGGCTACTGTTGAGGTTCCACATTCAACTGAGGGATTGCAGGCATCTTGTACCTACTGCCCAGACATCGAGCCCAGGACCCCAAATCCTTAGGCTCTGTGCACTCGGCATGGCTTCCACTTCTGAGTTCCTAGGAATCTAACACTAAGGGTAATTGTGATCACTCCCTGATCTATGTATATAAAAGGCTGAGTCCATCCCGGCATTAGGGGGCTGTTAGCAGCATACCTCCAGCATGCTTCAACTCATGGTCAGTATCATGAGTTGAAGCAATCATAGCTGGGCACTTAAGACCCATGAACCTACGTTTCAGAAAGACATGTTACAGTCCAGGCCTGTAACCTCATGTCAAACTCACAGGGTAGCTGAAAGCATGGCTCTCTCTCACTTACCTCCAGGTCCCTGGACCTTCTGGCCAGACCCCCTTGGGAACTAAAAATAGGGCAAGGAGAAATGCCTCTTACCTAGCCTTGTGAGTTCTGTTCCCAGCCAAGGTGGGGAGGCTAGCACTGGTGTTGGGGAATGGGGCCTCAGAGGAGGTGTTGATCCTGTCACTGCTCAGCTCCAGGTAAGATCCATTGATCAAGTAGGCAGCAGGCCCCTCGTTCTCCTCATAATCCACATAGAGGCTCTCGGCTGGGGAGTTCCTTGGGGCTCCCTGGGAAAAGATGCTGTTCATGGTCTCATTAAGAGAAAACTCTTCCGAATCGGAGCCTATGCCCAAAAGCTGATCGGAGATGGCGTTGGCTGAGAGAAGCTCCTGGGAGGTGAAACGTGCATCGACCTCCTGGTCACCCTTGTCCCCTGAGAGAGTGGCATTGTGGTCTGCAGAGAGACAGGTGTTTCAATATCTATAGCTGCTAAAGAGTTGATCTTTGTCGCCCTTTCTCCTCATCCCTGTGTATGACAGGTGAATTACATAATGGGGATGACTTTGTGGGACAGGGGGAAATAGGCACTCCCAGGTTCTACTCCATCAGACACAGTTGGCCAACATCATCAAACGAAGAAAACCCAATGGCCACAGCAGATGGTTAGGCAGCGTCCCCAGAACCCAGGCTCAGCTAGAGGCTCATCATAAGATCTGGTTTGGAAAGAGGATCTTTATAGGCTCGTGAAATAATATAAATTGAATTTAGGATGAGCCCTAAACATATGACTAGTGTTTGCCTAAGAAGAGCGAACACAGACACATAAACTTCAAAAAGTCCAGCATGGGGGAAAAGCATATATGAGCCAACACACCAGAGTCCACCAGCAACATCCATTTCCTGGGGCCCAGTACTAGCCAAGTGAGCTGTGGGGCAGACCAGCTGGAACTGACTTCCAGTTCCACTGGGTGGAAGAGCTGACAAGTTACCTCCTCTCTAAGCCCATCCCTTCCATCAGACTCAGATAACCTGATATGGTTCATCCTCTGCACATGGTCTAAATCCTAAGAAGAAGATAGTAAAGAATCAAAATATTTTTGAAAAAAGAATAGCATACTGGCTGGGTCTGGCGGTGCACGACTTTAATCCCAGCACTGGGGAGGCAGAGGCAGATAGGTCTCTATGAAGTTGAGACCAGCCTGGTCTATATAGCAAGTTCCATCGAGATCCTGTCTCAAGGAGGAAGAGAAGGGGAGGAGTGGGGAGGAAAAGGAAGAGGAAGAATAACATCTATGTTAAAGCGATTTGACAGTTAATATTGACTGTCAACTTGATGGGATCTAGGTTTCCCTATATAGGGAATATAGGTTTCTGCCCTTGTCTATGAGGAATTATCTAGATCAGAGCAACTGAGGAGGGAAGACCCACCAGAACTGTGGGCAGCACCATCCTGTGTAAAAGGAGACAGTAAACACCAGCTTCCATGTCTCTCTTCTTCCTGACTGTGCATGCAATGTGACCAGCTGCCTCAAGCTCCTGCCGCCATGATGGACTATATTTCCTGGAATTATGAGCTGAAAACCTTCCTTCCTTCCTGAAGTTGCTTTTCTCAGGTATTTTATCACAGCAACAAGACAAGTAACTATACTATTGATGTATATAGGTCCTGTCACATGTCACCTTGCCATGACTTAGCGTCATCACTAAACACAGCACACACACTGCATCTAGGACTGTGGGTCAGCTGTGGTGACCATTGCTGCATGAAGGATAGCTTGGGTTCTTTGCAAACACATCACTGTATACAGGGATTTGAGAAGCTGAGAATTTCAGTGTGAAAGAGGGGTCTATAATCAATCTGCAGATCCTGAGCTATGACTGTATATCTCAGACTTCACACTGAGCCTGCCCAGGGAGATTGTGTAAGCAACTGGCAATTCTCTTTAGCCTCTTCTGTAGACTTCAAAAGGAACCAGCACTCCTCACATGAGGCCTCCGTACCTGGGGAACCCTGTCCTTTCCCATATCCACTATTCCTCTTTCTCACCTTGGAAGCCCTTGCCCCTGGGAGGTCCCTCACAGACCCCACCGCTGGCTTGCTCGCACACCTCGTTGGTCTCCTGGCCTCTGCTTGGACCCAGCTCTACTTCAGGGGCTGGAGGCTGAAACAGCTTGTTATTCAGGCCCAACCTCTCTGAGGAGGCCTGGTGGTAGAGTGAGCCATTATGCTGCATGAAGCCCAGCAGCCTGGCACTGTCCAGCTCCTGGCCCTCGGTGCTCTCTGTGCTCTCGGAGGCTGGCTCGGAGAAGCTATAATAGACAGGCTGTAGGTGGTGCATGTGTGGTGGCTGCAGCAACGTGTACTCGAAGGTGATGGAGGGGTTTTTGCCATTCTGGTTCCACACCTGGGGAAGGAGAAGAAGTGAGACCTGGCTCCTTTCCTCACCCCTTCTGAGCACCAAAAGCCTCTTGAGACAAAAGCAGCCCTGGTTACAGCCGAGTCTTCCCCAGGGAATCACACTTGAGCCAAGAATGTGGCCTCATGCAAATGTCCTAGGACAGCTGTGCCCAGAGACTGTGAATGAGGCACACCAAAAGGAGCAGAGGGGCAGGCCACCTTGGGGACAGGGAATGGGGGACACACTGCATGTCAATGCCATCACAGGCCAGAAATCCTAATAGCGCTCATCTCACTGAATCTACCCAGGACTCCTAGGGTAGCTGATGTACTAAAATCCAGACCATGCCTCCATTCAAGACAGCACTGAAGGATCAGCTGGATGGAGCTTGTGGGGGATAGTCAAGGCCTCTGCAGATACCACAAGCCAGTGTGACCTCTCCCCTAGACAGACTTCAAAGTCTTTGTCTATAGTCCCTATCCTAAGATCTGGAGGCTGGCAGGAGGGGATTTGGCAGTGGGCCACAGAACCGAAGCACTCAAGCACTCAAGCTCAAACACTGCCTGGCTGAAGAGCACAGACACCAAGGCCCTGGAAGGAATAAACCACAGAAAGAGAAGCCGTGCCCAGATAAGCCATAGTAGGACACCAGGGGAAGAAAGGCCACCACTGAGATGGCATCTCAAGGGTAGCTGGGACAGGAGCAGAGACTAGGGAAGGCATTCCGCTGGAGCAAGATGACAAAGAGAAGCAACACCAGATGGCTATAGGTGTGGTCAAGAAACTCTGATGCCTAAAGCTTCAGGGCAGGAAAAGTGGAAGAGGGGAACCTATGTCAGCCTTTCACCCTGCTAGGTCTACTGCACCAGACAGTCAGGCCAGATCAGTGGGACCCCACCGCAAAGAGAGATCTGCGTCAAGATGCTTGGAAATGGTGAAATCTCAATTGTCCTGAATGGTCTGGGACTGGGAAGGGACTGCTCTTCCCTCAGCAGTTAGGGCTGCCTTAGGAGAGATGGCTTCCCTTCCTAACCTTGGTCTTCCTCTGGGCCTTGCCTGGTCTCTCCCAAGCTCTCTCCAAAGGCTCTGGTAAAGTCATACTCTTCACCCATCAGAGAAGTTGTAGAGAATAGACTGTTCCTCCTGAGGCCCTCCAGGAGTAATATTCCACTCTGGAATAACATGCTGGCCTGCTAACAGGGAGGGTGGAGTGAGTAAGGCCCACACAGTGCAGACTCAAGAGGACTGATTCAAGGGTAGGCAATTCACTGGGTGACCACTTCTCCCAGAAAGCCCAGAACATTCTGTTCACTTGGGGGTGGCCAAGCGAAACCAATGTCATTTAGAGGGACAATAAGGGGCACTCTCACAGTGGCAAGAGATGGTGTCAAGTTCTAGACTCCCCAGCAGCTGTAGAAATGGACAGGCCCTTATGCCACCATGTGATGGTAGCACACACCTTTAATTCCAGCACTCAGGAGGCAGAGACAGGCAGACCTCAGTGAGTTCGAGGCCAGCCTGGTGTACAAAGTGAGTTCTAGGACAACCAGGACTGTTACACAGAGAAACCCTGTCCTGAAAAACAAAACAGAAAACAAACAAACAAACAAAAAGGGCAAGCCCCGAATTAATAAAGGTGAGTAATAAGCCAGGTGTTGGTGGCACACACCTTTAATTCCAGCACTTGGGAGGCAGAGGCAGGTGGATCTCTGTGAGTCTGAGGCCAGCCTGGTCTACAGATTGAGTTCTAGGACAGCCTTCAAAGCAATACAGAGAAAGCCTGCCTTGGGGAGGGGGGAAAGATGAGTAATAAAAAAAAAAAAAAAAAAAAACAGAGGGGCTGGATAGATTGCTCAGTAGGTAAGTGTACTTGCTGTGCAATCATGAGAACATCTGATTAAAACCCCCAACACCCATGTAAGAGCTGGTAATTCTGTAACACCACTATTGGTGTTAGGCAGATAGATCCCTGGGGCTTGCAAGCCAACCAGCCTAAGGGAAGTAATGAGCTTCAGACTCACTGAGAGAGCATGTCTCAAGAGAAAAATGCAAATGAAGAAGGCACCTGAAGTCTTCCTGTGACCTCCCAATGCATTCATGCCCCCCTTACACACACACACACACACACACACACACACACACACACACACACACCACCGCTCACAAGGCAGACTCAGTATCTCAGTGGCAGTCAGTAAGAGTGACAAGACACAAACATAGCTAACGGAAGACAAAATGCTACACAAACACCTTGGGAGTGGACAAATGGGCCAAAAATAGGTCCTTCTTGACCGGCACAGGCCAAGCTGGAAGAGAAGGAGGCAGAAGCAGCTGTCCAGGCAAGGTTACGAACCTTGCCCTCATTTCCTGAACCAGTTTCTAGACTCAGAATCCACGGAACAAGGAAGGGATCCACAGTTCTCTCCCAAAGGCCAACAGCTGTCTACTCATTCAACTGTTGCCTGAAGAGAAGGTTGGACATTCTGGAGCCAGGCCTGAGTTGTCATTGTTGACACCATTGATTATTTTCCTCACTGAAAGTATTTGGATGAGTAATGACCAGAGGGGTGGCCTACGCCTGGCTGGTAGTGTGTTCACTGGGTCCCTCACCCCCAAATGCATAAGTGATAGTCACAGCCTTCTCTTGACAGTGCTAAGTGGATACACCTGACATATCCAAGAGAGCAAGTCAGATACCATTGCCTCCTGGGGTATCATAAATGTCAGCGCTATGCATCATGACCTCAAGGACAAAGGGGTAGGAAACTGCCCACATTCAGTCCCACAGCTCATGTTGTACTAAAATGACTTCAGTGATCTGTCATCAGAATATAGTCAAGTGCTGTAAGCTCAACCAAGCAGTGACCCTTACTGAGGTTTGTGACAGATGCGGTGACTTTTCTAGAGCAAATTAACATGGCCTTGGGTTGAATGTATTTGACCCAGGTGTAGTAAAAAGTCTCCTTTTATTCCTCTAAGAGCAGTTTCCATCTACCTGGGTGGATCATAGCAAATATACACAGCTGCCATCCAGTAACCATGTAATTCAAAACAACAGGGCTATTCTATAGGACACTGTGCTGGTACTACAGTTTGCAGCCTCCACCATGAGCAGAAATTCTTGGGGTGGCGCATTCTGCATCCAGTAACATTAGGTTAGTCTGCACAGCAGTAACTTGAAATATTGCCTATGCTTTGTGAAACACAGCAGAGAAGGCTCTGTGCAGACCTAGCTGGGGTGCACACAGCTGGCCCTGGGCTGTAGGAGCAGCAGAGATGCCTGTGTGGGTGGGGTGTGAAAGATGTCATGGAATTCCTGCATGTCCTAGAGATGTCTCCAGGGAAGCAGACAAATGGACCATACCCAGGCAGACCTGCCTTCGACATTCTGCATCTTATAGGTGAGTGGCTACACAAACCCTTCCAGGTTCTGTACCCACAATGTGAGGCTATAGAGCCACTGTGGTGGGATCAGAAGTCCAGAAGACACCTGGCAGATCTCAAAGAATGTCAGAACTGCTCATCATGATGACCCTGATTTCAGGGACAATCACTCTGCACATCTATGGATCTGGGATGAGAAGCTACAGTGGCTTGCATTTCCTGATGCCAGCTGTGGAAAAACACTAGCTATAAAACGGGTCCCAACTCTGCTCTGTCTGCTACTCACAGCACCAAGAACCAGGGGAGGAAGGAGCCACAAGCAACTAAAACACTGCAGGACCATTCATTGGAGGCAGCATGGACCTAAGGGACATAAAGACCTAACCAAAACATGGGAAGTGGGCCCAGCCACCTATCCTTCACTTCCCATGAGGTTCACGATGATCACAGAATGGGCTAACTGTACAGAACAGTGGTACTAATGGAATGAATGAATTAATGAATGAATGAAAGAAAGTAAGCAAGTGAATGGATCGATGAATTAATGAGTCAATGGGAAACAAAGTAATTAACTAAAATCTGAGTTTGTAAATGAATGAGAAAATGACCAGTGAATAAGTGAATAAATGAACAAACCCCACCACCACCACCACCCCAGGCTACATCAATACTTGCATTCAGGGCCCTGTAGCTGGATTCTGGGAAGCCAGTGCCCACAACTCTTACTATCTCTTAAGACTATGGCACACGCACCATGACATTCAGGCCCTGGTTGGTGGGTCCCTGTGCCACAATGTACTCAATGCCAGTCTCATAGACATCCATGGGCCGGCGGTACTTGACCACTGTACCAGCAATGTTGAAATTCTTGGGGCTGTCCACCTTGTAGTTGCCATTGAAGAAGTAGAAGCCAGCTTCATCTGCAAGAGCTGAAAGAGTAAAAATCATTGAATCTCACAGGCTAGACAGGCTGAGCAAAAAGGAGAGAGACACAGGGAGGAGCCAGCATACAGGTTCCAAGAATGGTGGCCAGCCTTGCCTTCCCTCTCCAAAATGACCCAAAGACAGGAAATTCAATGTCACAGGGAATCAGACAGACACTGTGCCTGGGGCCAGCATGTGGCCCTGGCCAGTGAGGGCCTAAGAGACACAAACACACTTTCCTATCAGTCTAAAACAAACAACCACAGGCCAGTCTGGGTGGTTGGAAGAGCCAACAGGGAAGGCTGGCCCTGCCCTTCTGGCTGCCTCAGATGGGCCAAGGGGATTGATTGCAAGGTAATGAGCTAGCACCATAGCCAAGTGGCTAGCCTGGACCAGGAGGGTCTACAGCTGTGAACAACAGGTACCAGCCAGATACTAGACTACAGAACAGACTGGCTGTGACTCTGGTTGTGGTACCAACTTCAGTGCACCCAGCTGAGGAAGGGGCCTCAGTGCCTCATCCAGGGCCCACAGTGAGTGACACTGTAGCCTGGCCTAGCTGGTGTGGAGTGCTGTCCTGAAGGCTTTTCCTGGGATCACCCCCTGCCTTTCTTATTAGAAACAATGGCATTCTGTTGTCTGACTTCACCGTTACCCAGTTAATCTATCTATCCTGCTGGGCTTACCACCTACTCGGGGCCCAATCAGGCCAGAGCAGAGCCTGGACACATCACCATTTCCCTTGGGAAGGTATAACTGAACACTTTCAGGGCCTGGTAATAGAAAGCCAGGATTCAAAAGGAATATGCCCATGACACTCCAATAGTCCATTTCCCAGCTGCCCAGGGGCCCAACAACAGCCTGGAAGCAGGCCTTTCCAGAAGCTATGGGGACTAAGCAAAGGTTCTTATCCTCCAGAGCTGGGGAAGAAAGGGAGGAGGCAGCCTCATCACTGGGGGACATTCTGTCTTCTAGAGGGTGTCCTTAAAGCTGGTTCCAGGAACTGGCCCGCCAAAGGAGTGAGTGCCGTTTCCAAAGGCCCTGATGCAATCCGCGCAGAGGAGCCGGGGCAATTAATTTATTATCAGACAGACGCAACAAGCAGGACGTGTCTGAAAAATACCCTTAACGTAGTAACGTCAGAACATAGCGTCAAGTCCAAGTCCGGCTGGGGCCTGGTTGTCCCAGCTTGGCTTCCAGATCTGCGCCCAGGGTTCGGCTCAAGGCCCACATCCAAAACCTGTTTCCTGACAGCGAGGACCTTCCTTCCTGCGGCTTTCCCAGCTCTTGGTATTTGCAGTGTCTGCTTCAAGAATGAGAGCTTTGCAGCCAGCTCAGAGAACACGACGTCTCCCGGCCTCCCTGCAGCCCAATGAGCTAGCAGACAGCAGAGCCACCGGCCTGGCTGGAGGCCCGGCTCTCCATGCTCGACCCACAGATGTCCCCAGCAGTGTAGGCATGGGGCCAGCCATGTGCAAACTTGCTGGGGTTGGGCCTTCAAATGCTCTGGGAGCCTGGCAGTGGACAGGAGAGCCTGGTGCCTGGCTCAAACTGAGGATCTTCAATATACACCCTCCCCTTTTCTACAGCCCTAGAGTAGAGCTCTGTCATGCTCAACTCCCTGAGGTGTGGGATGGAAAGACAGGTGGGAGATGGGACACAGTGTTAAGACTGAGTTCATTTTGGAGAACTGTTCCTTAATCTAGCCTGGGCCCTGTATCTGTTCCACACAGGGCAGAGCTAAGGGCAGAACCGCTCATAGGTATTATTACCTGCCCAAATGGAGCTTCAGTCACCAGGTCATGTCAGCTCTCCAGCTTCACACACACTACCCATCCAAAAACTATCATCAAGATGGCGCCTCACCACTGTACAGTATCTCCAGGCTGTCCAAGGTAGTCACTTCTACTGCAGAGTGCCACCTCCCATGGGAAACCAGACATGGTCACCATGGCATCACAGATAGACCTACCATCATATTCTTCCTTAGCAGCGCATGGCCATGTGACTTGGACTTGGATTGGCCTTGGCCTCAGCTCTGTGACTCACTCCTTGAATAGACCCTACCTCTGGCTCCCTAGATTCTGCCTGGGCCAGGTCCCTAGTGATGGGGAGCCCACCTGATGTCAAATCCTGTCCATGCAGAAGGTGACATCAGCTCATGTGCCCCACCCCACACCGTCCCCACCCCATCCCCAACAGTCAGCTGCATCGCTGGCTTCCACAGCTGTGCCCTATCACCTAGCATGTCCACACTTCTCAAAATAGAGATCAAAGTTCAGGTGTCCTTAGCCCCCCCCCACCTCCAGTCCCACATACGTACCCAGCACGTCTGCTGACTTCTTCCTCTCTACAATCTGGATGTCTCGAGCACCAGCTGGGATATGGGTCACCAAAGAGTAACCTGGGGAATAGGAACACCTGTGAGCAAAGCCAGGGAAGGCAGGATGCAGCAGAGAGCTGCCATTTGTCCCCTGAAAAGCTACTTCTGGGTGTCAGTGCCATCTCTGCGCTCTGGATAGCTAAGGTGCTCCTGCTTAGAGGCTGTCTCAGCCATAGGTGTGTGATATTATCTAGTCCTATTGAATTGCTCATGTTGTTCAGGAGACTGACCATCTTCCAGGGCCCTTGCCCAGGTACACCTTATCCCATCAAGACCATTGGCCTGCCCCAGCCCCTGACAAGGGACACAGTGGACTACAGGGACTTTACACATGCTGAAGTCCACGACTTAGGTCATATCCTGCTTTATCACTTGAGAAACCATGGGCCTCTGGGATTTTGTTGTTGGTTTGGTTTGCTTTGGTTTGCTTTGGTTTGGTTTTTTTTTTTTTTTGTTTAGTCCAGAGACATCAAACCCAGCACTATGTTGACACATGGTTATTGTCAAATTCCATTTTAACAGAGCATCTTATTGATGGCCAAGGCTTGCTGCATCCACACAGAGTGGATGTTGACTCTTCAAATAGAAGCTGACCACCGTACAAGGGCTACTGTCCACATGCCTGGGCTATAAGAGGCACTGGTAACCCTTTCAGATCCCATCATCCCAGCCTTGGTATAGTTGAGAGATAGTCACAAACAATTCCAAACCCAATAGGGAGCAAGAGTCGGGGGCGGGGAACAGTTACCAGCTACTACTGGAGAGAGCCCTGGCAGAAAAGAGTTAATAAGAACAGAGCAGTCTCCTGGAAGAAGAGATGGGTCTCAGAAGGAGAGGGTTTGGTACAGTTGGTGTTCCTGTCCTGAATTCCCTGTAGAAGGCTGCGGAGTCCACACTCAAACTACTAAGGACCAGAAGTTCCTGCCTTGTCCCTGATCCTACTCTCGCCTTGCCCTTGAAGAACCTGCCCTGACAGTGTCTCACATTGGGCTTCTTGAGAAGCAGGGGTGAGGGGCTCTGCTTAGTAGCACTGAGCTATTAATGTGCTGTACACTGCCCCACTGTAGCTGACTGACAGCAAATAGTCCATGTGGTATCTCTGGGCAGAAAGCAAGAAAGCGGTTCACAATGGCATGGCCATTAGACAAAATATTGATTAAGGCTTAAGGACTGGGAAATTGTCACTTTACTGAGATGAGGTCTCTCTATGTGATCCTGGCTGGCCTAGAATTTGCTATGTAGATCAAGGTAGCCTCAAACTTCTGCTTCTGCTTCCCAAGTTCTGGGCTTACAGGCATTCACCACCACCAGTTTCAGACTCCAGGCCTGAAACTGGCAAAACACCAGTAGACCCAAAGGGCATGGGTGAATCAGGTGTCCAAGTGGGGGCTCCCTCCCCCAACCATACAAGCCTCTAGAAGAGGCACCCTTAGACGGGATGGGAGTCTGAAGGAGCTACAGGGTGAGGACCAGAACCCTCCAATGAACTCCCTACAGGCTGATTTAATTTTTAAATTAGCAAGTGGTTTACAAGACTCCTGAGCAGTTAGCGCTTGACTCCGATGAGCTTCAGGATATGGACTGGTCTTGAACATAGTTAGGGGGCACGGATCTTTCAGGGCAGGCACGCAGTTCTGCAGCTAGGACCCAGGGCCCAGATGCCCAGGTTGAGACCCAGAGCCTTAGAAGATCAAGTCACCTTAACCTTTTCCTCTCTCTGCAGCTTTGGGCAACAGTAGCAGCAACTGCCTTATAACAATATCCCCAGATGTGGATGAGTTAATGCTGGTCAGACCTGGCTCTGTGCCTGGTTGGGAAACATTCAGCAGAATTAGAAGCTCCCCAGAGGGAGCTCCACCAAGAGCATGGGCCCTGTCTGGTGGGCCTTGATATAGTACCTGGCATGTGACATGAGCTGAGTGCTATAGAGAAGAGGCACTGCCTGACCTCTGACTTCTGACCCCTGACTCCATCTCTGCCTTGAGTCTAGCAGAAAGCTGTGCATGCAGGTGTGTGGAAGGAAGCAAACAGCCCAGCTTTGCCATACCCCACCTTTAACAGCCTCCAAGCAAAGAGCCTCTGCCGATCATACTAGAAAGACACAGCATGCAGATTCAACTCCTTACACACAAGCAGGTGCTATGCCCACCCTCCTTTGTCAGTCTCCTCCCTATGCTCTATATCGGTGCTTCATTCTTAGTGGCCTCCTGCAAGGACTCTTGGAGGCCTCATTAATTCTGTGATCACCTCTCATGTGGGGGCAAGCAAGCCTTCTTGGCTTCCTGGGCCCTCCGGTGGCCTCAGTAGGACTCCCTTGCCTTCCTGGGAGAACTTGAGCACTCAGTTCCCACTCTGGGCCTCACTTTTCCCATCTGCTAAATGGATTTCCTTTCCTCTATAATAACTTAGTTTGACTCCACACACATGTTCTTGGGACACAGCAATGCATTTGGTTGAGCACCAGCTATCACAAGTGATGTATGAAGATCTGGCTCATGCACGGATCCCAAACATGAGTGTCAGGCCAGAGCCAGATGCAAACACAAGGTCATTAAACACAGCACCAGAGAGGGGAGTGTCAAGATGAGCCCAGTATCCAGCACATCCAGAGTCAAGCCTCACACACTCCAACATTCATGCCTCAGTTTCCCTACTCAGTCTTCCCTGAAGGCTGCCTCAAAGGTCAAATGTGATCTCCATGCTAAATGTCCTCTGGTGTGCAGATGATGTTAAGGGCCTCTTTCTATTACCAGTAGGAAGGAGCCCTACACCTCTGCCTGGGCCTGGGTGGAGAATGAGAGGACCCATGATAGGAAGTAGCTGAGCCTGGACACCTACCTGGCAAGTGGAATGTGGGGATATACCCACCCAGGCTGCCAGACCCGCCCTTACCAAGATGATTGTTGCCCTTCCGGTAGTTGCCTGTCACATGGGTGCAGCTGCTCCCGTCTCCCTGGCAGACACCGCACTTGTCCAGTGTATGGGTGGAGAAGAGCACCCCGTCACAGCCAATGGGCTGCAAAAGCAAGGAGAGAGGCTGCTGAGGCGCTGTAGCTGACACAGGGGCGCCACTGGCTCGACAGGCAGGGTGGCCAGCACACTGAGAATGGCTATACTTTTGGCACAATGTTTAACAACCTCACATTTTCCAGACACGCAAACCCCTCTCAGGTCGGTGAGCTTGCAGGAAGTGCCATCACGGGCGGGCACCATGAGCTGCCGCTGGCCATCCACAGTGGTGCAGTGCAGATCGCATGGCTTACTGGAGATGTGGACGTAGTCATCTGGGGGATGAGGCAGAGAATCTCAGGGGAGATGGTGCTGAATTCACCTCCTCCTACCGAGATAGCACCCTTCCCATTACATAGATGGGAAACTGAGGCTTGAAAAGAAGGGACCTGACAAAGTGTTGGTGGCAGAAATGAAGTGAGCCCAGTCTAAGGGCTGAGTTCCAAATGCTGCCTCCTTGAGAGAGGGCATCGCACCTGAGATCCACAAAAGGGTTTCCCGTGGCAGAGGGACTGGATGCCTTAGCACTTCAACATGGGGGGGGGGTAGTTCATTTACACTGTGCCTGAACAATTTGTTTCCTCTCCTGTGGGGAGAGGGAAGGACAAGGGTGGGTGTGGAGCAGCAAGCATGCCCCCAGTCCCATGAGACCTTGGACAGTCCCCATTTGGGGTTGTCTGGGCTGGTTCCTGTCTAAGCCCTGGGGACAGTGGGAGAGTCCTGACCTCAGAGGGCAGCCCTGCAGGAAACTCAGCTCCATAATCTGTCACCGGTGATGTCATGGGTCATGGGGGAGGGAGGAGACAGACCTCAAGACCCTCTTCTAGAGGAGCGGGATCAGCTCCAAGCTCTGTAGATGACCACCACAGCTTTCAACAAGACCTGGCTCCAAGCCTTAGTTTCCCCACATGCCCACCCATAGAGCTTATTCCTGAGGCTCAGGTACCGGGGTAGAGAGGTTTCCATTGGTATGCCCGGCCATCATACACTCGGGAGTTGAAGGAGACACACTGCTCTTCACGGAAGCTCCTCCCATCCGGTGGACAGTCCTGAAAGAAGGCACCACGGGCACCAGGAGGAGCTCAGCAGGAAGTGGCTTACAACCAGATGGCCCTTGAGGGCCATAGTCCATGTGGCCCCCTGCTTCTGGTCTCACTCCACCCCCCTTACTTTCAACTCCTCAGAAGGGGCAGTGATTTTTCTTCCAATGCTACTGTGTATCAGCCTTCCTAACACTCTGGGTGACACCCTGACCTTCTCAGCCATGCTGTCAAATAGATGGGACACTGGTGGCTCTGCTCATACCCCCATCCTCCAGCAGAACTTATCAGCATATGTACATCTCCACATGTGCACACATATGTGTACAAAGTGCCTACAACTAACCTAGTGCACTTGATGGCCACCCTTAGGAACTGAATCCGAAGGAGTGGACTCTATAAGAAAACCTTGGGGATACAGGGGACAGCTGCCTATGCAACAGCTGGAGTCCAAACTAGGTTAGTGTCTACCTCCTTCAGGAGCTCATGAGTGTCTACCAAATCCTGACTCCATGACTAGCTGTGGTCACTAACTTCCCTTCAGCTCTCACACCCCACATGTGCACTCACAAAGACAGACAGACTTCTAATAGCTCAGCTGGGCAAGCCAAGTTAGGCTGGCAGAGCTGGCACCAGCACCACCATACCCCGGTGGCTCTTGCATAGGCAGCCAAGTTTCAGACTGACTTCGGTCCCATTGAGAGTACTCCTCTGAACCCCAGGCAGAATCAATGCCTCCTTCCAAGCCTCTGCCACCTTGGTGTCCAGTCGAGGCTAATGAAACAGTGCACACAGGCACACCTAAGAGCTGGGCTGAGAGGGTAGCTAGCTGCCCAGCAAGATTGCTACATAGGTGGGAAGAGGAGGCAGCTGTTGTGGCTTCCTGGTATGCAAATGTCCTATGCAGATTGGGACTATGGTGGGAGACCCCAGCTTCTAAAGCTGCACTTAGATTTCCAGGACAGAAGGGAGTCCAAACCATCCTACCACACCCAACATGCAGGGGACAGAACATGCAGCATCTGATGTGCAAAGGACTCGGTGTGAGCCTAGGCATCAGCCAGCCTACACTGGACTCTCCAGTGTCAGCAACAGGATGACCATAGGGGCAAGACCGAGACCTCAGGGCTGCAGGCAACTGGCCTCACCTGCACTCTGCAGAGCTGGTACCGTTTGGACGTGCCCACACAGGTCCTGTTCCCTGCTCCTGGAACAGACTTCCTCCTGGTGGGAAAATGCGGTACCAAGCCAGGGTTGGAGTGGCAGCTATAGGTCCTGATACCTGTTCTGTCATGTACTATCTTCCTGTAGCTTCCCCGACTCCCAGGATGGCATCTGATTCCCCTCTATATTCCCAGCACCAGAGCTGTACTGTACAGAATCAGTGAGTAGCAACCATGTTTGCTGAGTCCCATGCTAACATGCAAACACTTGTGGTGTTGTGTGTGCCTAGGAACATATGCTGGCTTATCATGCTCTCCACATGATGACACAGATGAGGAAATTGATGCTCAGAGATTAAGTGCCCTGTCCAAGGTCACATAGCTTAGAAGTAGCAGAGGCAAGACTCAAACCCAGGTCCTTCTGAGAGCAAAGGCTCTTAATACCTTCCCCTACATTCCTCCCTGCTTCTGTAGCTCACACTTCAGAAGACAAGGGTGTCTCACTCCTCAGTGGCAAAGCCCTAAAAAGACAGGCCTTGCTTTCTGACACTCCCTTTCTGGCACCCCAGAACACTATTGCCAAGGATCTCTCAGAAGCTCTATGCCCAGTGGAGGTCAATAGGAGGGGGAGCCTACATGCATCAAATGCAAGACCAGAATGAAGGCCACCAGGTATGGGCCAGGCTGCTCCTGCCCACTCACGGGGTGGGGGGGTGTTCAACAGACTTACCTCTGTTGTAGACAGTGGCGTTCTTGGGAAGTCACTCCGCCCCCACAGCTTCGTGAGCATGCTGTCCACTTGGTCCACTCCCCCCACCAGTAGGCAGTGGCATCAGCACCCCCCTCCAGGCTGTTGGATGTGGGGCTGTTGTCCTGGGTGAAAAGCCCCCCAATAGTGAGCAGAAGACTCAACCACAACACAGGAGAGACTACACCCCAAACATCACAGGACATCACTGGCAACTGAGAGGAGAAGATGGTGCACCCTCCTAAAGGGCTGCTGGCTGGGTTCCTCAGAAACCTGAGTTCAAGTCTCTCAGATGGCCTGGAAGGACCTCCATTGGTGATCACATGTGCCCCCATCTTAAGGGCTGAGACTCTTGAAATTTGTCGAGTACCTGAAGATATCTCAGCCTACCTTGCTTTCTCCCTCACAGCCCACACTATGCCTGCATCTGCAGGCTCACCCCACATACACCTCCCATCCATATGCTTTGCTCTAGGCCTTTGCTGGAAAGAGAAACACCAGACACACCTCACATTCTGGCTAGCTGGCCAGGGACTCCAGGATGGCCAGAGTCCCAGTTCAGGGGTTAGTCTAACTGGCTCTCTGAACAAGTTTCTGGAGCCTAAGGGAACACAAGACCGCTGCTCATGTACCCTCCCTCACTACACAATCCTTCCAAGTGAGCCCTCTTGAGAGGGAGCTCAACACCTGGCTGCGAAGCTGGTGGCTGGGAGAGGATACTTGACAATGCTACTCACCAAGGCCTGGGTAGATGCTGTACCCCCAGCCACGACAGCCATGGCCAGCAAAGACCAAGCCCAGTGTGAATGTTGCCATCTGCCGTCCATCCTACGAAACAAGACCACCAATACTACCAGGTCAGGCCCTGCTCTAGAGATAAACTCTCAAGGTTCTCCCAGTGCCCAGATGGTAAGGTTAGCTGAGATCCTATGGTAGTAGCTGCCATCTGAGAGAGACTGAGCCATCCATCTGGGCTCAGCCAGCAGCTTGGTAAGTGATTACAGATGTCTGCCCGGCTTAGGCACAAAGGGATGGTGTGAGTGCCAAGTCTGAGCCACCCTTCATCTGAGGTCTCCTGCCAAGATTTGCCAAGAGAACGGCTGAGGAGGTTGGAGGCCCAGCCTGGTAGACAGGTCATTATGAAGAGGGATAGGAACTGGGCTCAGCCCATTGCCTTATCCAGAGCACCTGGGAGTTTTACCTGCTTAACATTGGCAGGCCACCTAGAATGACCATGCACCAAGTTCATGAGCTGTACAAGGGGTGTCCTCCCTTTCCTCCCTGCCTTCACTGGTCCCTTGCCCCATGGTCCCCAGGAAATGGCAGCCTTCCCTTGTCAGAGGAGCATCCTCATGGCCCTTCTCTCTTGAGAGAACATGGTCGTGGGGGAGGTGCCGAAGGAGGCCCAGCTTGTGCCTGGTTGTAAATGGCCCAGGGCCTGTCTTTCTGACTCCTTCCCAAGAAGCTAGCACCTGAAGCCCAGACGCCCACCAAGGGTTAAGGTAACTCAAATAAAGGAGAGCTTCTGAGCCTGCTGCCCTCTCAGAACTGTTCCCTTGAGCCTTAGCATAACCCTTGTCTTAGAAGAGGAGCTAATGGCCTCTAGCTAGTTTGCCTCAGGTGAGGAGGGTCATCAGCCAGTGAGTTAGACAATTGGTTTCAGAAAACAGCAAGCCCAGAGAGAAAAGTCAACTTGCCCAAAGTCACATAGAAAGGCAGCCTACTGCCCCCACACCCCAGAGCAAACTTAGGGGCTCAGTCCAGCACCCAATAATTCCAGGGCAAGAAAGTCTGGAGATTGTCTGCACCCTCGAAACACTGACACCAACTGTACTCTGTCTCTGCCTCCCGTCCGCCTTCCCTCCCTCCCTCTCATCCTACTTCCCCCTCCCTCCTTCCTCTGTCTCCCTCTATCCTTCCCTCCCCAAGCACCTGCAGGTGTGTGGGAGCTAAGCCAGCGACACCCTTACACCCAGACTCACCCAGACAGACTATGTAATGACACTGTAGATCCTGAAATAGGAAGCCTCATCCTTGAGACCCCTCCATCCCATCAGCTGCCCACCACCTTCCCTACCCCATCTGTCTGCCCCTCCCATTCTGGTCTCCATGTACATCCCCATCTTTGCTTTTTAGCACAGAGCCCCCATCCCACATGATCCCATTGGCTTCCATGGTTCCCAGTCCCTGCCGCCCGCCAAGACAGGTGCCCAGTCAGCCTCACACTTGGTTTTCATTAAGGCTCCCAGACATTGCTGGATTCCAGCCAAGTCCAGCTCAAACAGGATCCTTCTCTCCCTAGGGTCCAAAACCTTCACTAGGCCCACAGCAGGGGTTTGCAGATCAGACAGCAACTGCTAGTCCCAAGCTGTAGCCTCAGGGCCACCCTGCCACTGTGTGGTGCAGGTTGTTCCCCCTTCCTCTGTGGTTGAACACCCTCTCCAGGGGCTAGGATATCCCCCAGTCCCATTCTGAACAGCTGTCTGCCCTGGAGCGAGCTGCATCTCACACCTCCCAGGGACGACAATACGAGCTGGGACAAGTATGTGGTGGCCTACCTCACCCAGGGTCAGTAGGTTGTCCTCTCAGAGAAAGGGGTGAGAGCTAGCTGCCAGGTGCACCGTGCAGGAAGATGAGGGCAGAGATGTGCGGGCTCTGCCTGTCTCTTGTCCTGCTTCCCCAGCTGCCTCCCTCTCCCACTTCAAAGAGCATTCAAGGGAGGGGGTTCCCAGGAGGGGCGCTCAGCCCAGTGGCTGCTCTGTGGCCGCAGCTGCCTTTATAGCTGTCAGGCAGACGGGGAGGAACTCACACTTCCCACCGCTTCTCCCCCGCCCAGCCTGCTGGCGGCTGGCCGGGCGCACACTTTAACCCGCTCTGCGCCTCTGGAGCATGGCCAGGCTGTCCAGCTGCCTGCTGGCTGCTGCCGCCCCAGTCCAGAAGCAGTGAGTGAGCCTGAGACTGGCTTGCCTGGGTCCAGAATAGCTGACTGACCCTAATGGAGCAAATGGCCTGAGGTCATGTGGAAGGAGGCTGGCAGTGTGGAGCACAGCCCCCTGCCCCACCATCTAACTTCAGCTTCCATAGGAGGCTGGGAACCATGTGATGTCCAGGTTGCCGACTCCTGTTCACAGGGAGACACTGAAATCTGGAGGTTGTGTGTGTCCAGGTCACCCTCCATCCTAGGAAAACAGACCTGAACAACTGAGGAACTGAGGGGCATCCAGAGATCAACCAACCAATAGCTTCAGGGAGAGGAGGAGGTGGCTACAGCCTGCTGACCAGATGCCTAGCAGGATCAGGTGGCGGGTAAGCATGGGGTAGTCTGCAGATGTTTGGTGTCGGTTTGGCAGGACCCCATACCAGCTGGACAGCTACTGGCAAGCAAGCTGGACTCCAGGGTTCTGGTCCTGCTGAGCTGGAGCTGGAGGGTGCACAGCTTCAGTCCTACCTGTGAATTCTAGTAGACTTCGAATGATGGGATGCCTGCTCCCCAGGACACTGCATCCTAGAAAATAGGCAAATGATACTGAAACATCTCATAAGCCGGCTGAACCATTTCATCCATGTGCCCCCTCTCCTCCCTCTCTCCCTCCTTCTGTGCTGGATGGTGAGCTTCTTCAGCTTCCTCTTTGTGCTGCTAAGTGTTGTACCCTGGGGAAGTACTGTGTCTGACCACTAGACTCCAGAAACAAAGCAACCAGTAGAAACAACAAACACCCAGCCTTGTAAGGCTTGTGTTAGGTAACAAGCATCTTCACTATCTGTACTTTAGACGAGAAACTGAGGCTGGGAAATGGATGACCTGCCTAAGGCCACACATCAAAGCCGGGACAAACATGGGTTTGCAGTGCTCCCCTGCCGCACACCCTCTCCTTCTGCCTGGTTCTTCAAAGCTGCTAGCTGGCTTTTCCATCTTGGACCCTGATGGGGGCCAGGGGATCAGGTCTCACCCTTCCCACGTCCTGTAGCGGCTGACCTTAGGGTATTCAGTTTCTGCTCTTCAACACCCTGACCTCCCTGACCCTTACCCAGGCCCACACTGCCCCCTGGGGCCAGTGAGCTGAAGCACAGATGTTCTATTGCCTGCCATAAAGAACACACACATGAATGCATGTGTGCACAGGATCTCACAGACGCAGATCAGATCTCTCTTATTCTGGATGCCGCTGCCACTGTTCTCCTCCATTCTGGCTGAATACCAGGCCCTGCACACCCTGGAGCAGACCCAAGCTCTCCTGGTACTTCTGGCTCCCACATACCCCAGTGCCAGGGTGACTAACAGTTTCTCTTGGGAGGGACCCCACAGACAAGTGACACAACCACCCAACATCTTCCCTTGGCCATAGTCTGGCCACCTTGAAGACAGACCCATGGGGCCAGTATCCTGCTGGCTTTATTACCTCCACCAGTGTGTGACCCTCTAGACCCTGGATTCCTGCTTTAACTGTGCCTTCATTTCCCTACATCTGACTCTTTGGAGTTTTCAGATTCAAGACTCTATGGCAGCTGTGACATAACTATCTGGTTCACAATGGGCTGAGGATTTTGGAGAGATGGAAATGGACTCAAAGTGCCCCACACCCCTTTCTTCCTCTACACAGTAATAGCTGCTACCCTATATCCTCAGTGGGTTCCCTCACACCTGTGAACCTGGATACTTTCAAGTGCCCTGAGCCAAACAAGTATAGCATTAAACAAGTGATAAAAATGTTATGGTTGCCTTGCATGTTGCACTGAGAAGGAGAAAGTCTCATCCTGCTCTTTAAATGGGGACATTTTGCGTTGAGTCCCATAAATTAACTGTTCATGTAGCCCAGGGGCCACTGTTCTCAGTTACACCTACCAAGCTTCTGGGGCCTGAGGTAGCCAAAGGAGCCAGTGGCTCCAGGCCTCTGGTCTGGCTTGTGTTCCACTGCCTCGAGGCCCTGACCCATCAATTTGCCCCACATGCTGAGCCCCCCAACATGTTCCTCTTTTTCTGGGAAGCTACCCCCAAAGAACCCGTAACTTTGTTTAGAAATGGCCTCTCTGTCTTGAGGCCGGGACTCCCTCTGATGTTCATCTCAAAGCTGAAGGACAGACATTCTTGAGTCATTACCCACTCCTCCACCCACTGCAGGCTGCTCAAGAAGGGGGCTGAAGACTGTTCAGTGGCAAGGCAAGAATGACCTGGGCCAGACCACCACACAGACTTCTGAGTTCCCCACCTATCTCATCCAGGAATACTGGCTTTTCTGTGAAGCCTACACACGAAGTTCAAGGCCTGTGGCTAAGTAAGACTCCTCCGGCTACTGTGGTCTGAGATTCCACAAGAAAGGGGGTTCCTTTGTACCCAAAGCTAAGCAAGGACTGGGTTTGAAACCCTAGTGTGGCTGGAAGTGATCTGTTACTGGCACTCCATAAGCAAAAAGCTGAGGAGCTGGACACCCAGGCTATTGGTAGCCAGGGAATGTTGGTACTGCAGCTTCGTTGCTCTTGGGACATCACAGCTTGCCCATGGTTGGCTTGGACACAGCAGCAAAAACTCAGGAACATCCCAGTGAACTCACAAATCTAGGAGAAGGTCTCCTGCCCAAGGGACCCATGGGCATCCTCACCAACTTCTCTACCACTAACCTGTATCTTCTAATCTAGGGATTAAAAAGTTTGATTAGCATTCTTGAGGTCAAAATGTAAATTACTGAAAGGATTTTGGGAATAGCATTTTCTATCCAAATTACATCTAGAAGTTTGGATGTTATATTAAAACTTTAGAGTTAAGCTGAGTGGTTGTGGTGCATGCCTTTAAGCCCAGCACTTGGGAGGCAGAGGCAGGGGTATCTCAGTGAGTTCAAGGCCAGCCTGGTCTACAAGCAAGCTCCAGGACAGGCTCCAAAGCTACAGAAAAAGCCTGTCTCAAAAAAACAAACAAACAAACAAAAAGAAGTTAGGTTTTTGTTTTATTTTTTGGTTTTTTGTTTGTCTGTTTGTTTGTTTTTGGATACAGACTATTTACACAGATAAGTGCAAGTCCCTGGGTCCATAGAAAAACCTGGCCTGTGGTTGTCTCCTCTGGTCACAATCAGTGAATGTCATTTGCCAGACAGTCCTGGGGATGAAGTAACAACAGGAATCTGGAGTTGAAATCCAGCGTTGCTCCAGCACCCAGCTCCAGAAGGTAGCCAGTGTCTTCCCAGGATGAGAACCCAGCAAAGTATGGAACAGACCACACAATTCTTACTAGAGGGCTGGCCTGCCCTGAGCCCCTCAGCCCTGTGCAGTTGCCAGCATAAATCTTGGGGACATAAAACAGCTAAGGTCTCCATGCTTTGAATAGCAAGCTTTTGCATGACCTTCTAGCACGTTAAGGAGTTGTGGTGCCCTAAGGTACACAAGCTTGGTGACAGCTGCCAATCGCAATTCCTGTGCTGCCCACAGACAGAGCCCCAAATGGCTGCCTAGACACAGACCTCAAAGATAGAATCAGAGAGACTTGAAGCTTATTCTTTTCCTCCAGGTAACTTCAGTAGACCCCAGACAGGAACAAGGCCTCTGTGCTCTGGGGTGACCCATTAATGTGGGCTGGGTGTTCAAAATTTGGAGGAGGCCAATACAGCAGCTGGCACAGCACTGCTGGGCTGGGCAGACAGACAGCTGTCCTGAAGGCTGAGAGCTCAGCATTCCATGCATGTCAGCGCCTCTATAAAACCCAGCCACTCCCTCAGCTGAGGGGCTAGGGAAGGGGGAACCAACTGGTCAGCCCTCACCCCAGGCTTTATGGCCTAGAGGCTGATCCTTACATGGTCCCACTGGGACCATACCACTTGCTGGGCAGAGAAAAGATGCCACCTGGGGCCCTTGGGCTCTGATGCCAGGTCATGCCAAGAGTCCACCGGTCCCTCTCATGAACCAAGACATGCAGGCAACAGCTCTGGCCCCTCCAGCCTCATAAGAAAGGAAAAGAAGTGGCAAGACCAGGCAGTCTGATATGGCTGGGTGACCTTGAATGAGACCTAGTTCTTCCCTGGGCCTTGGTCTTTTCCTTGTAAAATGGGAAAGGCAGAGGTCTGCACTTGCTGGCTGCCAAAAGACCCATGAAGCACAGCATGAGGACCTCTCTGTATGTGGCTAGCCCAGGATAAACCCTGCATGTATATGATTTCCAAGACCTATGTGTACATGCAGTGCCATGGGCAAGCAGCCACACTCTGAACCAGGCTGTGTCCTGAAGGTCACTCATGGTTTGGGGACACAGTTGTTAGGGTCTGTTGGGCTAAAGGACAGAGCAGGTAAGAGGCTGGCAGGTGGGGTCTTCAAACATGGGAAGGACCAAGGTAGCTAGCTCCTATATCTGTTGGCCTTGAACCTGCACAAGTGAACCCTTGACCCCTTTTCTATGTCGCCAGGGAAACACCTCCTCCCAAAACAGCTTCCCATCCTTTCTACTCCAGTGTCTCAACCCAGCCCCCAGGCCAATCCCTTCCCCTGCCTCAGAGAGACCCAAGTGTCCTTTCAGTCCTGTTCAAGACTGTATGCCTTCTCCAGAGTCAGCTGGTCTGTGGCCAGGCAGCCAGGCTGGGACGGAGCCACACATATCCACCCCCTCAGAGGGCAGCTTACAGTCCAGCCTTATGTGGGGGCTCGCCTGCTGCCCCAGGCCCAGCCACCTGTCTCCCTGCTTTGGGACATCTCCTCAGCCCTTTCCTCTTTAATGGCTATACCATATGTACAGCTCCACTTCCTTCTCCCTACCCCCCCCCCCACTTCCTGAAGCTTACAGCCTGGCTTGGAGTTCATAGCTACAACACACACACTCATGCACATACCCACACATGTGCACGCATGCGTGTGTGTGTGTGTGTGTGCGCGCGCGCACACACACACACACACACACACACAGCTGTGGAATGTTTTCCTCCTTCTGAGGTTTGTGGCTCCGGGACATGTGCTCCTTGCCACCTCCCCAAGTACCGGAGATGTAGTCTATTCCTTCTTCCTCTTTGAACTCTTGTGGGGAGCTGAGGCTGAGTTAGAACTATGAACCGGTGAGGGGAGAAGTGAGAGTCATGAGAGACCCCACCTGAGTTGCTCAGGGGCAACCATGAACCTCCCCAGCCCCCATCACCAGCACTCACATAGCAGGGACTGGTTTTCCCATTTGGAGAGAGAACTGGCCCCTAGAAAGCCAGACTGAAATCAGCCCCACCTCCCTGGATTTTCATTCATTCTTTTAACAGCCATTCATCCCTCTGGTATTTGTTGAAGACCCACAAAATACTAGGTTGGGCCTGAAGGGACTATGGCAGGAAGCCAGTCAGATGAGACCCAAGCAGTTCAACACCAGCATCTCTATCAAAGTGGTGAGTGCCTGGATAGGAAGGATGTGGGGTTGGGGGGAGGGGCAGAGGAAGAGTGAAGGAACTCCTTGGCTCATTATCTGTCAATCACAGAAGCTCTCATCACAGAGACACTCTCCAGGCTAGGAGTGAACCAGGCCTTAGCCAGAACAAGGGACAGGAAGTGCTGTCCTTCAGCAGAAGCTGGGGGAGATGCTGTATCTGAGACAGGAGAGTCTAGCATCTGCAAAGGCTGGGGTACACATCTAGGTATGGCTATGGACAGCGTGGGATCTCTTTGAGCACCTAAGCTTCCTCCAGGGATTGAGAGAACCTTGGAAACACCTTAAGCAGAAGAATGACAGAACCAGGTGTCTCAAGATGGGTATTTCATTGTGAGCAGGAGAAATGGATCTCAGACGTCAGACAAGGGGCTTCCAGAAAAGGATGTGGGAGTTGGAAGTTGGGTAGGGGTGGAGGAGCCATGCCTTTGGAGATGGGAAGCCCACAGCCTCTCCTGGAGGAGGCCACTAAGGGTGTGTTGATCCTTGAGCCTGCTACACCCCAAGGTCTAGGTAACAAGGGAAGGGAAGTAGGGGATAGCCTTCTGACCCAACTTACACCAAAGGAACTGGAGTGGAAGAACATGGGCAGTTCTCAGGGTCATCGTACAGGCGAAACAAAAGGCGCCACACACTGTGTGGTCCACTATTAAGTTCGAATGAAGTCAGGCCCAGGCAGAAATCGATAATGGTGACTGCCTCTGTTAGGAAGCAGGGGACAGCTTACCAGAAAGGGAATAAAGGAATGTCCTGTCACAGAGCCATGGGAGTGAACACTGAGGGTCACACAGGTGTGGCACCTGCCACAGCCCTTCAGCCTATGGAATTAAACCCTGTACACAGTGACAAATGGCAATAGAAGCTGATCACTAATAAACTGGAGAAAGAGCTGGCCTGAGAAGCTCAGACCACACACCCGTTGTTCCTTGGCTGGGGGCTGAAGGGTCCCTGCCAGACAGTTCCCCTAAGACAGTTTGCAACAGGAGAAGGTGATTTCCTGAAGTCAGGCCAAGGACCTGTTGTTAAAACCAGGAATGGGAGCTTAAAGTCCAGACAACAGTTTTGGATTGGAGAGGGTCCCCTCTGCTAGTTAACAGTAAGAAACATAAGCAGTGAACGTTTAGTAAAAAGGGCCGGGTGACTGGTGAACTGTGAAGTTTATCTGCTGGACCTTTCCTTGAAGAGACTTAGCTAAATTTTAAGTTTTCTCACCTTTTGCAACCCTTTGACATGTGACCCAAATAGCAGCACCCTTGACATGTTCATCCAGCGGCAAAGACCTGGATGGAAAATAACAAGAAGGTGGAGTGAAGGGTCATTTTCAGGAACTCCCCCCCCCGAAGAATATTACCTCCAAAGCAAGAAATAGGACTGCATTGAGAGAGGGGGAGGGAGAGAGAGAGAGAGAATCAGAGGCAAGTGCATACCACATGGTACATCAGCTGTTGGGCCTTCTCCATGTGTCACTGGACACATGCTGGCTTGGAGCATTTAAGCCCTGCTTGTGGGTGCTGCCACAGCTGCCACCAGGCTGCTGAAGAAGTAAAGTGGGCTTTTTCTTCCTGCCCTGGAGACCAGAAAGACCTTCACCTCCTTCTCCCCAGCCAGTGCCTTCCTCCTGGTCCATGGGGACAGTTGTAGCCAAACTGCTCCTGCCTACCCTCAGCAGCCTGGCCTTCCTCCCCACAGTGAGCATCGCTGCCAAGAGGCGGTTTTACATGGAGGCCATGGTCTATCTCTTCACCATGTTCTTCGTGGCGGTAAGTGGGAACATGGGAGGAAGGCCTCATAGGGAGGGTCACCACTTCTGTCCTGTGCCGGGTGATGGAGAAACATGACAAGGTATGTGTGGGAGTATCCCAGTGACTGGAAAGAAGAGGTTCCTGGAGTCTGTCTTCCTCTATGAACCTCAGTTTCTCCATCTGTGCCAGGAATCGAGGGGGGCGGGCAGTGGCTGACACATGTGACTGAAGCCAAGCCATGATGGCCCGTGTCAGTTAATTAGGGACAACCTTTGCAGGTGGCTTCTTTTTATGCTCCCCACACCCTCTCCCTACCAGCTTTGTCCCAGGAGTTGCTGGGCTGGGGAGGACAGGGGGTGAGTGAGCAGGGCCTAGGAATGGACCCACTAGATTCAGGGAAGGTAGAGGGCCTGGATGGATCTGACTCCAGAATGCGGAACTCCCTCCACTGAGGAGGGCCAGCCTCTCTCTAGTCCTTTCTTTCTCTTCCTGTTATATGTCTGTCTGCCTGCCTGCCCGAGTTCCCTCTCCCCTCTGTCTCCAGGTTACATCCTGGAGTGGCTCTTCTGTCTTTCGGGGCATGTCTGGCACTGGGCCAGCTTTGCTGGAAGCCTTGTGTCAAGGCCTGTGCTTCTCACCCCCGCTGTGTACCTCTCCCTGGCTCTATGTCTATTTGCTCTTTGCCTCCGTCTCTCTCCCCCTTCTTTCTTTCCGTGCCCAGCTCTTTAGATTTCTAGAATTACACCCCCTTGGAGTCCACCCTCCTCTTCTCCCTCTCATTTCTTTTCCTGATCCTCCATGTCTCTCTGGCTTTATCTACCTATCCATACAACTTGCTTCTGTCTGTCTATCTAATTATAGATTCATCTACCATCTTCTCATTTGTCATTTGTCTTGTTCTCGCGTATCTATTCATCATCTATCATCTGTCTATTATCTGTCTAGCCAGCCATCTCTCCCTGTCCATTCACCTTCCCATCCAGCCTCTCTCTGTCTTAAAAACCCCCTATCACTATGCCCCTGAGACCTCCTGAGTACCCCTCCACCGGCCCTCACTGCTGTCCTCTCACCAGGGGTCACTCCTTCCTTACTGCCCCATAACTTTTGTTTTTCTCTCGTCACACCTATCCTCAGTAGTCCGTATGCTGTGTGACCCACACATTGGTAGGATAAATGCCCAGGGTTGGCAAGCAGCCTGGTAGTCTCCTCCTTAAGGCAGAGTCGAGCCTTTGGAAAATAGTGTCCTGTGTCTCTTCCGGCAGCAGGGTCTCAGTAGGCAAGGGCATGGAGTATGTGAGGGTACTCGGCCAGCTGAGTGAGTGAGGCCACCAGAACACACGTGTGAGCTCACATGCGGCTCCATATGTTGAGTAAGTCCAAGAGACTTTCTAGTGGTGGGAGAAGCCGCCAGTGCTAGGCTGACAACAGCCAGGGAGGAGTTGGCATATGTCTACCTCCTGGTTGTGATGGTCCCATGAGTAACAGTGAATTTCTCCAAGGAACTGGAAGCTCTAGAGCTCTGAGTTCACTTTGGGAGGGGAGGACAGTAGGTTAGTGAACAAGCCACAGGCAGCCACTATGGTGGGAAGGGGCCCAGCGTCACCCACTCATGAGTTTAGGGCAGTGATTTGCACTTGATAGAAGAGGAAACCGAGTCTCAGAGAAACTGGGCCACCAAAGTCACCATGATCACAACTCTGAGATCCTGATCTACCCACAGTACTTTCCCATACTGTCATTTGTTCCTCAAGAGACCCCGCCAACGTGAGAGCCCAAATGAGACCCCCCCAAGGTCAGAGACAAATGCCAGGTTCTTGTGCCCAAGGCCCATGTTAGATATAACCCAGCAACTCACAGGCCGTGGTTATGTCACCCTGCCTGGGCTGGCCTGCAGCTGCCTCGGTACCAGCCTTAGAGGCCCACCCTGCCCCACCCCACCCAGAGTGGCAGAGCCAGCTGTCTCCTATGACAAATGTCCCTTGGCCTCAAAGCCACAGTCTGTGCCTCACAGAGTTCTGCCTTCCACGTGGCTCCTCCAGGACCCTCCATGGCAACCACCAGTTGTATGTTGTACTGATGCCGAATACAAGAATGACTCTTGGTGTCAATTACCCAAGAGTGGCCCTGAATTGTTCCAAAGAGTTCCTCTCTCCCTTGTTCTAATCTTATAGTCATCTAATCTAAAAGCAGGTTCTAATCTAAGAATCTTGGACAACAGCACCCTCTCCATATGCTGAACAGCACAGCAAACAGGCTAAAAATGAATGAGGGATCTGAGTCTTAATCTTTTACAGGAGTCTCACAAGGAAGACAGCTGTTTCTCTGGCCCTATTGACTCAAAAGCACACAAAGCCACAATCCGATATTAATATCAGCCTATACCCACATGTTGCTTACAACATGTTTTGGAAGGGGGGGGATGAAGCACTTGTTTTCAATGCCTTGCTGATTTTAACACATGTTCTTAGCCCTAGTCATCACACCTCATATAAACATATACTGTTGTGAGTCAGGGGCATAAAAGAGTCACGGAGGAGAAACAGAGACTATAGAACAGTCAGAGCTTATGCATACGTCTGAGCCTGTAGGACTCAGTTACACTAGAAATTCAAAGATTGATTAATTGCCCTATTTTTCTCAGAGTTTGAGTTAATTCTAACCATGGTGAGCACAGTGTTCTAAATGCACAATACTAACTTGGTTTCAGGTTGGGTGGAAGTTTGGTCTGTAAAGGCAAACTTTAATCAGAACATCCCAGAAAAATCATTCCCACAGTGTGGGACACCATGCTATGCAGTTATCACCAGGGCCCCTCAAGCCCCACTGAATAGGGGCTCTCACTCCATTGGACAGAGAAGGCCCTGAAAGAGCAGCCTCTTGCTTGTGTCCCTCTGCCATATATGCGGAGCTAACAGCAGGGTTGGAGCTCTTGCCATACCCAGCTATGTCCTCGCCCAGCCCCAGTTGGGTCAAATCCACCTGCCTCTGGGGAGGGAGTGTATTCATGGCTGCCTTGCCCTTTCCTCCTTAGGCAGGAGGCACCCCAGGGAAGTTCATAGTCACACAGGCCCAAAAGAACTTCAGGGCTTGAGGACAATTAGATCCCCTGCTGTAAAGCCTCCTTCTCTGGCCACACACACAGGCAAGTACTCTATGCTGGGATCCAGCCTAATGAGGTTCTCCTGCTCCTCATGGGGCAAGGTATAATAGATGTTTCCCAGAATCCCACAGTGAGTGAGTTTTACCCCTTCACAGGCCTATACAACAAAAGGGAGCACAGATGTTACAGATGGTGGGCTCAGGTGGGGTTGAGTCTTGTGGCTTTGTAAGGAGTTGGAAGAGCAGGAGTGGGCCCCAGAGCTGAGTCTCTTTCCTACTCTGCTTGACCGCCTTGATCTGGCCCCACCTGAAGCTTGTCCTTCGCCGGGGGGGGGGGGGGGGGGGTTAAACAGAGCTCAAGCCTAGTTGGTTAACCGCCTCTTTGACAGTGTCCCTTTAAAAAGGTGTAGTACCCAAAGCTCAAGGCAGCATCAGAGCTCTGGATTGGGCTGACCCAACACAGAAGCTGGACACCCCCTCCCTTCCCCTGGATGATGGCTATGACTGACAGTCCACATGCAACTGCGATCAGCAGGAGGTCTCTAAGCTTCTAAGTCGGGACCCCACGTGTTTGACTGACACATCCATCATCCAGGGTCCCCAGCCCCCTGTAGTGCCCCTGCTGCCTCCAGACAAGGGCTGTTTTCCAGCTTGCCTGCTCCCCCCTGCTGAGCTGGGCTTACCAAGAGATGATTGTGCTGGCTCCTGGGCTTGTTTGTGCCAGTCGCACTTGTCAAAATAATTATGTCATGTAATTAAATATTACTTAAAATGATGAAATGTGAAGCAAAAGGAGAGAGAGTTGTTTTCTGTAAGAAATAAGTTGACTGCTTGGAAATATTCCATATAGAGCCTTTTGCTTGAAAGCAAATGTCAGGAACAGGCCTGCTAGAGTATGGAGGAGAGGTGAAGGAAAGAGGGTGGTAGGGTCAGCCCTGCTTGGGGGAGTCTAAGGTCTTCCTCCTTTTCAAAAAGACAGTGGTCCAGGATAAAAGGCTCGCGCCTGAAGATCGACACAGGAACATGTGTGCACTTCCAGTCAGTCCAGGGGCAAAGGTTGTGTGTGTGGGTGATATTTTAGGGTCCCCTCCTCAGCAGGCTTTATCTGAGTGACTACAACTTTGGGCCAATGGTAAGAGAGTCTAAAAGTGATACTTACTTCCAGGCCTGATGGACTTACCTGTTTAATTTCCACAAGACTGAGTTGGGGGGCGGGGGTACTCAACTGTGTGCCCTGATAATGTGGGGAAGCTGATGCACAAAGGCATCAAGGTCTGGAGGCTAGTGAGGGGCCTGTGCCCAGGGACCAATCCTCACCCACCACTGATGCCTGTTGATCCCATGTGGTTTCCCTGCAGTTCTCCCATGCCTGTGATGGGCCTGGCTTGTCTGTGCTGTGCTTCATGCGCCGTGACATCCTGGAGTACTTCAGCATCTATGGAACGGCCCTGAGCATGTGGGTCTCACTGATGGGTGAGTGGCTATCTCTGCCAGTGGGTGGGAGCCATTCCTCAACACCAGCCAGCACCCAGTCTATGTCTGAGATCCTCTCCCTTCTCTCTGATTTGCAGAGCCAGTGGCTTAATCTTCTGAAAGAAACATGCTCATTTCTTAGATGCTTAGATGCCTATACTCTTACTTTTCACACCTTAGGTGATTCTTGTAATGAGCCCTTGTGACATTTACAAAGCAAAGACACACAAAGGAAAGGGCAAAGGTGCAACCCTGCAGAGACCATCACTGCCCTCAGTTCAGGGACTTCGCCTCTGAGAACATCCTCTAGGCTCAAGGGAGCATTTGCTCTTATGGGTCATCTTTAGGTCTCAAAATCCTCACCTTGGATCTGGGGTTAGGCTCAGTGGGAGAGTACTGGCCTAACGAGCAAGGTTCCATCCCTTGGTTCCATCTCCAGCACTGTGAAAATTGGAAGAAAGAAAAGAAGAGAAAGGGAAGGAGGAAGGGAGAGAGGGAGAGAGGAGGTTAGAAAGATGGCTCAGAGGTTAAGAACACCAGCTGCTCTTTCAGAGGTCCTGAGTTCAATTCCCAGCACTGACATGGTAGCTCATACCCATCTATAATGGGATCTGATACTCTCTTGTGGCCTGCAGGCATACATGCAGAGAGCTCAAACATAAAAGGTAAATAGATAAAATTAAGAAGAAAGAAGGAAGTGTAAGACCCTCAGAATGAAGAGTCTCCCAGTTTCGGTCGGTACCCCCAAGAACTCAATGGCCAGTCCAGTTGATGCAACACACAAGCAAGAGGCTTTAATAAACAGGAAACGTTTGCATAAACGGGCCCTCAGCACACAGGCTAGAGAGAAGTGTCATTCTCCAGGCACAGGCCTTTTTTAAAGGCAAAACGCATAAGCTTAGGGAGGGGCTGTGACCCTTAGTCCGTTGAGTGTGTGACCCTTTGAGGCCAGATTGTCTTGCTGTTAGGGTCAGCAGACCTTAGGGCCTCAGGGTATGCTAATTAATCTTGTCTGGACAAATCGAAGTTGCAGCTATCTCTTTGTTTCTTAAGGAACCTATTTACTACCTGCTGACTCACTGAAAGGAGGGGCAGTGTGAATTCTTGATATCCTGCTATCTTAGGGCCAGTGGTTAGCAAATTCTGCCCGACATTCCAATTATTTGGGCTTCATTTCATTTCTTTGCTAGTTTAAGTCTTTCAGAAGGAAGGTGTCTTAGTTGGGATTTCTATGGCTGTGAAGAGATACCATGATCACAACAACTCTTATAAAGGAAAACATTTCATTGGGGCTGACTTATAGTTTCAGAGGTTTAATCCATTATCATCACAGCAGGAACACTGGGGACATGTTAGTAGACATGGTGCTGGAGAAGGAACTGAGAGTCCTACATCTCTCAGTAGGAAAAAAATGAGGCACAGTATGCCTGGCTTGAGCTTCTGAGACCTCAAAGCCTATACACAGTGACATACTTCCTCCAACAAGACCACACCTACTCCAAAAAGGCCACACCTCCTAATAGTACCACTCCCTGTGAGACTATGGAGACCATTTTCTTTCAAATTACCACAGAAGGTTTGAAGGGAGAAAGAAAGCAGGCAGAGAGAGAGAGAGAGGGAGGGAGGGAGAGGGAGAGGGAGAGGGAGAGGGAGAGGGAGAGGGAGAGAGAGAGAGAGAGAGAGAGAGAGAGAGAGAGAGAGAGAGGAAAGGGAAGGGAAGGGGAAAGGAAAGGAAATAAAGAAAAGAACAGGGAAAAACCAAACAAACTCAACCTTGTTTCTCAGGGATGCTGTCACAGGTGGACCATGTTACCCGAGGGTCCCTCCTGAAACTCAGCCCTATCCACCACTCACTCACTCATGTGTCTCTAGTCTTAATACTTTTCATCCCAGGATTTGTAGGAATTACTGATCAGTCTACTGTTTAATTCCACCCTGATCCAGGGAAGCAGCACCCCTGTTTCCTCCAAATAAAATTCAGACCCCTTGGGTCCTATGGACTGAAGGGACATCCAATGGGGTTCCCAGGGTGGAGGCACAGCCAAGGGAGGGAGGCAGCTCACCACTCCTGCGTCTCTCTCCAGCCCTGGCCGACTTTGATGAACCCCAGAGGTCAACCTTCACGATGTTCGGTGTCCTTACCATCGCTGTTCGGACTTTCCATGACCGCTGGGGTTATGGGGTCTACTCGGGCCCCATAGGTACAGCCGTCCTCATCATTGCTGTGAAGTGGGTGAGTACTGTGGGGGCCTCAGCTGACAGGACCCAGGGAACCTGCAGTTCTCCCCTGGTCTCTCCTATATGGGTCCCATACTTCCTACCCTTACATGCAAGCAAACTAACATGAGAATTGAGCCTAAACCCCTAGAATCCCTAGAAATGATGACTCATGCTTAAACCCTATTCCCTGCTGGCTCATCAGTAATTAGTCATTACTGGTCCTGGGTAAAGCCAAAGCTCCTTTTCTCTGCTCTGTGTTCAAATACACATAGAGGATGCTTCTAAGCATAGGCACATACATGGCTTTTAATGAACCCAGAGATGGGGAGACCACTCACCATCATGACCATCATTGTCATTGTTTTCATCAACTGTTATCATTCTGAGAGACAACGGCTGCTTACAACGCCCATTTGGAGAGCAGCTAGGTTAATCTGGAAAGCCTGCCTGAAGGAAGCAAGCTTTAGATATGACTCTCATGAAGAAGGAAGGTTTGAGGCGAAGGTGAAGCAGAGTTTTCAGTAGGACTGGAGGAGGACCTGGTGTCTGGCACTTACTCTGCCCTCTACAATCCCAAGGCCCTCCTGGCAGCAAGGCCTGGAGTCCACCTAAGCTAGCCAACATGAACAAGAGTCCTGAAGGCAGGATAGACCAGGGATGTCTTCTGGGCACCACTGAGAGCAGTCAGACCCAAAACATGGACCTGGGAGGCCAGCAGGCTTCAGACCAAGCAGGTGGCAACCCGGGCCCCAAGTTCACACCACTCCCATGCATTTTTCATGCAGCACCACTTTGGACCTTGGGGTTCCCCTAAGTAGAACCTCAGCAGTGCAGAACAGGGCAGGCAGTGCTTCAGGGGGCTCTGATCCATCCTATCTGTCTGCAGCAAAGTGGGGACAGGTAAAAGCAGGCAGGAAGCTTCCAAGCTGCCTCCTGCTCATGCAGGCTCTGAGGAACTCAGGCTTACTCTACTTTTTAGTTAAGGTACACAAAGGTCAGCAGCCAAACCTGCAGCCCCAGTGGGCAGTGGCTGCTGGACTTGGCTTTTCAGGAGGCAATGAGGAGCTTTTATCTCACTGTAATTTGGGTAAAGCTGGCCTTGGCTGACCCTGAAGGCCAGAGCCTGCTTGTGGCAGAGGTGCTGGGGTTCTGCATAGTTAGTTAACAAGCTGGAATTCATAAACACAAAGACTCCTTTTGACACTGCTTCCTTGTCCTGCCCATCATGGGCCCTTGGCTGGGTCTGGATCTGACTCCATTTTTTTTTTTAAGATAGGGTTTCACTTTGTATTTCTAGCTGACCTCCAACTCACTGACATCTGCCTGCCTTTGCCTCCTGGGTGCTGGGATTAAAACTCAGCATGCCCATTCTGACTGACTTTTAATTAAATAAGTTAAAATAAAATAATAAACAGATAGCATACCTGTGCTAGTGTCCCCCACTAAATTCCAGGCTTCCGGGTGTCTGGTGGGAACAGGAGTGAGAGAGGCTGCAGCACCACCCACCTCTGGGGCACAGATCCCATCTAGAACACTACATATGCAGGTGGTTTGGGCTTGCTTCTTGGAATGGGGAGAGCATTCCTTTTCATGTCTCACCCTTTTGGGAGAAGTATAGGAACTACACTTGGAGAGCAGAAGCTGAATTCAATGGAAAGTAGGGCTTCCCAGGACAAGGGAGGCCTGTGGGTGACCTTGGATATCTGTCCCCTCTTTGGGGCCCCAGTGTTACAATTGTGAGATTGACCACACCAGGGCTTTCCAGGCCACTATCACCTGCACCCAGGCTAATTAGCTGTACCCACAGCACTGACACCATTCACTGAGTCCTCAACCCCTGTTAATAATGGCAAGTTTAAGAAGACTGGAAACAGCACCGTCACCACTCACTTGGTGGTAAAGCCAGTTCTAACCAGCTGTTGATGGCCTTTGTCTATCCAGTGTGTTCATGCAGTCAAGGCTGCTGTCCACTAACCACAGCATGCACCTGACATGTATAAGGGTCTACCCCAGTGAAACCTGAACCATCCTGAGTCTAAAATACCTTTGGGCTGCAAGGGTCTGCATCCCACTGAGGAACCACAGGTATCCCGTCTCTTCTGTGTAATACCTCATCTTACCAAGCTTGAACACACACCAGACCCTCATGAAAGGCATCATGGCCTGAGACGTCAGGGTTAACAGAAAAGGGTCACTATATGCCACTGAAGTCCCACAGACTACCACACAAACCACCTGGAGAGGCACACAGGGCTCATGGGTAACAGTCTCCATGGCAATGACCTCTAGCTAGGAGGTAGGAGTACACCAGTGGCCTTGCCACTTCCCGAAGAGGCAGCAAGGGCAGTGGGAACCCAGGGAAAATTGGCGGAGAGACTCCCAGCCCTGTCACAGTTCTGCTTGGGGTGGGGGGCAGTCCTTGCAAAACTGACCAGAGCTGCTCAGGCACGCAGAGGAATGGGATAGGCACTACTACCTGAAGACCGGAGGAGGTGGCAGTGGGACCTTGCCCAGACAACTCAGGAAGGAAACGTTCCCTGTGATGCACCCCCAAAAACCTTAACGTTCTCACCTTGCACCCCTCAGCTGAAGAAGATGAAGGAGAAGAAGGGTCTGTACCCAGACAAGAGCATCTATACTCAGCAGATAGGCCCTGGCCTCTGTTTTGGGGCACTGGCCCTGATGCTTCGCTTCTTCTTTGAGGTACTGGTCCTGTTGGGATGAGATGGAGCTCTCCAGAGCCCTCTGGAAAATGGCTCAGCTTAACAGAGAGCTAGCAGGTGGTTTTCACAGGGAGGCTCCAAGTCACACATTCTGTTGTGGTGGGGGTTTGAAGTTAGTACTTTCCATCCCCAATGTACCAGCATCACAGCCTGCATGAACCTGAAAGTCACAGGGAACCAAATTAGGCCCTGGCTTCAGGAAGTTTGGGTATGCTGGAAGAGACCAGGGGCTGATGCCCAGAACCCAGGGGACAGGGAAGAGAATGAGGCAGAGGGGCTTTCTGGCACATTCTCAGGGTGAAATGGCTGGCAGAGGCACCAGATGGCTAGCAGGGCTTAGTTCAGGGAAGGGGCTGAGGCCCCAGACTGACTCACTGTCCTCCACAGGAGTGGGATTACACCTACGTCCACAGCTTCTACCACTGTGCTCTGGCCATGTCCTTCGTCCTGCTGCTGCCCAAGGTCAACAAGAAGGCTGGGAATGCAGGGCCCCCCGCCAAGCTGACCTTCTCCACCCTCTGCTGTGCTTGTGTTTGACCACAGCCCCTGTTCTAGGACTCTGCCTTCGTGTCTGGCTGCCCCACCATCTCTCCCACGATTCTTTCTATGCTTTCCGTGTGTGTCAATGAGAAATGGTCTCTTCTGTGCCCCAAGAGACAAGCAGACCGGCTACACTCTGCTAAATGCTGCTTAAGGACCACTAACTCCATGTTCTCCTCCAAGACCTCGTAACCATAGGTGTGCCTGGCAGAGCTCTGGGCCAGTGGGTACTGGCCACAAATCGCAGCTAAGCGGCATACACAACAGGGATTATCTCATCCCCAAGTCCTGCCTGCCTGGGTTGCCTGCTTTCTCTAGAAAACTGATATTGCCCATGGCCCAGGCTCTGAAAGTCCCCCACCCACCCCATTTGTGAAGCTGGAGCCTGTGAAACCAGCTTTGGTCTGGACCCAAGTTTGCATGGCCCTGTCTGGGCCCCATCCCTTTAGCCAGGTCTTAGATCAAACCATTCAGAGTAAACTCCTGATTGGCCACTTGTCATTAGCCCAAAAACACTTTACATACATCTGTTTCCTAGAACAACTCTGTGTGCTGAGTTATAGTTCCGGTCTTTGGAGAGTGCCTGAGTAAGGCCAGGTACTGGTAGACACAAAGCAAAGTCTGCTGCTGGCCTGGGTACCTGGGCTGCAGATGGGGTACATTGCTGGTCTTCAGTTTACTCTACACTGGTCTGACGCTTACTCTAACAGAAGGCAGGTGCAGGCAATACCCCGGAGCCAGGCCTTGTGGGACGGCGCCATACTCTGAGCCGTCCTGTCTGTGACAGACTGGGGTCAGGGCATGGCAGGACATGGTAGCCACCACAGCAACTTTCAGACATCACCTCACAAGCCTGCATCTCCCAAGCACCCCCGCTATCCCCTTTCCTGGTGACCCAAGGCCCAGCTGTCAGCAAGAAGTTACCTACACCTGTCTGGGACTTATTTATGTCTCCAGATGGTGCCACTTCAAGGGAGCAGCTACCCACATCCGGTCCCCACCCACTAGGCTGCTGGCAGTCTCTCCTAAGTCACCTCCTGTGCCTCCTAGGAAGCCAGCGCCACCACTTGACTTGAATGTTCCTCTCTTCCCAGCTGACCCCTCAGCCTAGCCTTCTAGGTGCTTATCTCTGTGAGTACCCACAACTCTCTGTATCTCAGTCATCTCTACCTATCCCTTCCCTTCCCCCATCCCACCAGGCCCTAGTGGTAGACAGAGGTTACTCATAAGCTTCACCCTATCTCTGGCCTCAGAGACTTTTAATAATAGAACAGCCCATATTGCCACAGGGCACCTCAGAATGTTCAAACCTGACTCCTACGGACTAGGCCTCATTTATCAGGTGAGGAAGCCAAGACACATAGTCTGGGCTCTGAGGCTCCCCAGAAAGGAGCAGAGCTGGAGAGATGGCTCAGTGGGTAAGAGCACTTGTTGCCCTTCCAAAGGGCCCAGGTTCAGTTCCCAGCTCCCACTCAGCCACTCACGACCATCTCTAATGCCACTTCTAGAGGATATGATCATGATCAGATCCCTCTTCTGGCCTACAAGGAAACAGACACACATGCAGTGTGTCACACATACTTGGAAACAAATACCCACATAAAAAAAATAAAAATAAATAAACAACTCCAAGGGAGAAGAGCAGGAATAGAGTAGGAACAAGGGCACTGAGATATGGAGGCCTTGCTCACCTCTCTAGCCTGCAGTCAAGTACAGGTACACACCACATAGGCATATGTAAACACACACTCCCACATGACATACTTGTGTGTATCTTAAACACATATCACATGAGCTCACACACCAGGGAGACACAAGGTGTCCTGGAGCCCGATATTCTGTTGGGTCACCTCTTACTTCCAGAGGACAGACTGCTAAGTCAGAGCTGCTCACCCCTAGTGAGAGGCAGAGACGAAGCATGCCAGGTAAGATGTCTGGGGCCCCTCCAGAAGCAGGTGTCTGCAGGGTGTCCCCAGCCCCCAAGCAGGCAACTCCAGTTCTACAGCCACTCTTGGAAAACTGGAGGCAACAAGATGTCCTTGAGCAGGGAGGGGCCACGGGTGGCTTAGCCAAAGGGCCATACTGACAGGCTCTCCCTGGTGGTGCTGCTGATTTATGAGAGCCTTCTGGGCACCTGACCAAGTCTGTAAGTCACGGAAGATTAGTAGGCGCACTCCGGCCCTCAGCCCAGCTGCTGCAGCCTGTGCCTGGCCTCTAGGGCTCCAGATGTAAGCCTTACCCTCCACACATCTCAGCTCCCATGGCTGCTTGTGGGAGTCCTAGGCACAGCCCTGAGCCCAGTTTACAGATGAGAACAGTGAGGACCAGGGATGCTAGCAACACAGGAAAGTGGCTGAAGACCTAGCAATGGCATCCAGGGCTTTCTCCAGTTACGCCACCTGTGCCTCTTCCAAGGTCTACATTGACATCTTAGGATGCTAATCAGGGTCAGGAGGGGAAGGCAAGCAGATGAGCCACCATGCTCTCCAGTGGCCACTGACACTTCAGCAAGAAAGGACCAGCCCTTAGATGCCAATGATTCTGAACCCCGCTGCTGTCCAACCCAGGGTTTCTGTGTCTCTGGAATTTGGGAGTCGTGCCATGTGGAGCTAAAGAGGGCTTCCAAGGTCATTCAGCCACTTAAAACTCTAGACAGAACTTCCTCTCCTGTCTTGCATGATGGGGAGACCGAAAAGCATACATCCTGATACCCATATCTGTAAAGTGCTTAGGAAAGCCGCTCTGGGTGCTCCTAGGAGTTGAAGGGCCACACTGCCTGAGGGAATCTACTATATGGATATAGTGTCCCCTCTTGGGACAGCTGATCCCTTTGCAAGTAGTCGTTGGTAAGCTGTATCAGAACTGTGAGTAGCGACTTCAAGTTGAAACAGCCATGAGCAAGACTGCAGATGCCAGGGTGCGTATGAACTCCAGGTCCATGGTAGAGAATTAGATCATATCACACACACACACACACACACACACACACACACACACACACGCACGCACGCACGCACGCACGCACGCACATGCACACGCACACACACACAGAGGGGGGGGCATAGTGGAGGTGAAATGGACACAAAGCAAACAGGCCAAGTTCTAACAGGGGTATTCAGAGGAAGGTGATGGGGAGGTAGTCTGAGAACCCCTGACAAAGAAAAGAAGTTTTTATTTATGTGCCAGCCTGGGCTAATGTGGACAAGGGGCAGATCCTGGGCATGGTGTGAGGAAGAGCAGCCAGCTTAACTGGCATCTGTAGCACAGGGTCCACAGTGAACACTTGACATGTATTGAGTGTGGGCTGCTGTGGCTGCTAAGCAAAGTATAGAGTGGATAGCCTTCCCTGAGTTAATGCCTCAGCCCTGCGCTTGACTCGGTTCCTGTGCATTTCCAGCACACTTGAAGAAGGCATACTTCAATTCAAAATCAAACATTGTAGTTCAGAAGCTCAGCTTGAACCTAATGTCACCCCCCACCCCACCCCACTCCCTAACTCCCCCCACAGGCCTGTTTTCAAGTTCAGGTTTGAGAAATCCAGAGTTAAGACACAAGCAAAGAGGCCGAGACTCCCAGATCTGGCTGGGGCTTCCCCAACAGGATATGGGTGGGAGGGTGGGGCCCTCCTCCCAGTCTGTCACATCTAAATCTGGGATGATGAGTGGGCGCAGACCCATCATAGCCATCCTGGGCCTGGACATGACCACACTCACTTCAGTGTCAAAGGCAAATGCACCTTGGCCTTGGTCCCACCGTAAGTGTGCACATATACTGTCCTGGCACACCCCCGTGGGGCCCCACTCGGGGAGAGTGTGCCCTACCTTGGACAGCAAGGCAGATGGAGAGGGATAGTATAAACATTTACAGCAAAGTAGACACAACAGTTCATTGTGGCAGCAGCCTGGCTTCCCCCAGCAGGGGAGAGACTGTTGGGGAGCAGGAGAGGCCTGGGCAGCCGCCAGGACCTGCACGCAGAGGTGTTTTTGTCTGAGGCAGTCTGCGTGCTGCTGCCTGCCTCTGTCAGTCTGCTACTGAAATTTCCTGTCTCTGTTATTCTCCTCTTCAGGAAGAGACCTGAAACCCAAAACTTTTATTGCTCCTTTAAAAGGGCTTTACAGCTCCCCACCCGCTTCCCAGATCTGTCCTGCTGGAAGAGCTGGGATTGTAGTTAGGGGCAGCATGCTGGGCACTGGGTCTCTGTGGGCAGGCCAACCACAGGGTCTTGGCTGAGGATGACCAGAAGGAAAGAGGAGAGGGGGGAGCTGAGAGGCTGGAGTGGCCCAGGACAGCTGGAACAGGCTAGCTGCTCCATGTGTCCATCCTGCTGCCTGGTAAGTTGGTTAAGCACAGGCATAGGGACCCAGAACCACATATCCTAATACTTTAGCTGACCCCAGCCCCTTTTCTACCTCTGCAAACTGTTTGTTTACCTTTAAAATCAGGAGCAGCCGCCTCAGTCTGCTGTCCCTGGAGAGAGTTAAGTCAGAAACAAGTCGGTTTAGGGAAATGTTAGGAAATTAAAGAATCAGAAAGAAGAAGGCTGGACATAGGATGTAGACCGATCTAGGCAGGTCGGGCTCCTGCCTTCTCTCTATATTCTTAGGCAAACTTCATAGGTCCTCCTAGCCTCAGTTTCCCCATTTAACAGAATCTGACACATTTAAATCGTCTCAAGATTAATTGAGACAGAAGCTGGGGGATAGTTCAATGGGCTTGGGTATAGTATTTTTCCCATTTTTAGATTTTTTAAAATTTTAAATGTGTGTGTGGGGAGGGAGAGAGAGAGAGAGAGAGAGAGAAAGAGAGAGAGAGAAAAGTGTAGGTGCACGCATGCCACAATGCATGTACAGAGATCAGAGGACAGCTGTTGGGAGTGAGTTCTGTGGATTTCAGGGACTGAACTTAGGCCATCAGAGCTTGCAGAGCAAGCACTGATCCATTTTGCAGTATCAGCACAATATTTCAATGACACTTTACAAATGTTTTAAATCTCTCTGTCTCTGTTTGTATCTCTGTATCTCTGTCTCTCTCCCCCTGAGTGTGTGCGTAT